TCTGCTTGCTTAAAGTAACAGTAGTACTTGATTCTTGTAGCAGCATGGATGTTATGCAGATAAAAGAACTCTGCAGTATTTGACTTTGAAGAGTTTTTTCTTCTACACAGCAACAAATCATGTTCGATTTATCAGTCAGTGTCCTCGTTGCTGCACACGATATGTTTCAATATAAACTGATTCCTGGCCCATTTCTAGAGCACGAGTTAAATGACACAAAATACAGAGTGGTCAAATAGTTCTAAACACATTTATTTTAGTGTAACAAAGTGTCACACATAAATACATAAACAAATCTTCCATCTGCTTGTTGATACAATCGGGTAGGTTTTTTCAAAGTTGGTTTAAAAAAACGTTTTTCCATGAATTTTCCCTATAATCAAATTAGCAACAGCAGTTCAGACTCTTCATTATGACTGACCGGTTTTTGGGGGGTTTTTCAAACGCAAATGAGGAAAACCCCCAGTTTTTCCAGCCACTCCACACTTTAAAAAACGTCAAAACAACTATCAAGTTATGTTCTTTTTTCCTTTCCTTTTCTGTTTAGCCTCTACATAGTGACGCCGCTATGATGTTGCTCAAAACCCATAATGACTCTATAGGGGTCGACAAATGACACCTCTCTATTCAACCTTATTTGTTTGATCTACTGCATTGTACTTTAAATTAAATAGATGCAGGTTTTTAGGAGAGATGATTTTAGTTTCTCCCTTTTTGACAACAACTTTTTTGTTTTTAAATAAAGTTGAGAATGTTGTATCAACATCAAACATACTATCTCTCCAAATAGCATTAAAGTGCTGCTTTTGGCTTCACAGACAACATGAAGAAGGTGGAATGCTACACTAAAGAACGCCCCAACTCACCTTTTAAAGCGCACTGAGAAAATATCTGAACCCCGGGGTTGGTTTTGGCTTTCAAGTCAAATAATAATAACATGAGGGAGCTTGCAGTGGGGCCCCCAAACTGTTAAAACCCAACGATTTGTTGTCAAAACTCATGAAGACCTTTTCCCTCCTTGAATGTAAAGAGCCTTTTTCGGAGCCTCTCAGTTGTTTGTTGTTAAACTGTAGTAGAAGGGGAGGGAAGGATCAAAGACCCTCCTGAACAATAAAAGCTGAGCCTGTGGATTGTTGACCCCCAGACCTTAAGCCCTTCATTACTGCAGCTCACTGCTAATTATTGTGGACAGGACAGTACAGTACTCAGAAATCTGCCCAACCCTCCTCACTACAGGGTGGTCAGCTCTCACTGACACTCCTAGACCCTCACAACTAAACATCTGAGGCGTAGAGACAAGACCCCTCCTGGTGCCCTACTTCACCCCCCCTACCCACCCTCAGAATCAACACCTCCCTCTGGAAAACAAGAAGAAACCCTAAACTGGACTAAAGACTAAAGAGGATCATGTTTTGCCCTCTATTGAAGCACACATGTTACCATATGCTCCCCTTACTGTGCAGCCTCCTGATCTTATGCTGACTTAATCTTGACTGTAGTGACCACACTCCACAGAGCATCTGTGACCGTCACAAATGGCGTTCTAAACTAAGATAAGCCGACAGAGGTATTTTGAAAAACACATTTACTTCAAAAGAGGTTTGGAGCTAGTAGCTGTGCAGCATCAGTTGATTGTGTTGGCTGGCTGCTGACTACAGTATCATCCTGTGATGCTTTCAAAAGGCTTCATGTATCTTTAGTCAAAGCAACCAAGCAACACATTCAATAATGGTTTTGCAATATAATCCCGTCAAATGTGCAATCAGCTATTGAAGCCATGTGGAGGCAATACAACTGATTCTGTTTCTGCAATGTGGGATGCCTTTATCCATGATTGTCAACCCATCACACTGCTATGCTAGATGTCACTGCCGTAAATGTGGATAGAAAAAAGAAATAGTTTAGAGACCAGTGCAAAAGGAAACAACAGATTTTTGTTGACTTCTATTCTAGGTTGTCTAAAAGAGATTTAATGTACTGCTGTTACACTCCCTGCCTATTTGGGCCTACACACCACCAGAGCCATCATGTTGCTGCATGGCCTCCATGTTTATCACTGAGGTTTAAGAACTCGCTGTTGTCCCATACCACATGGATCATGTTGGGAATGTTAAGGACCTTCTCAAATAGCTTCCACCCATATAGGTGTTCATATAGACTCTTTGATGTCACACCACCCCCTCTTAAAAAATCTGAACTCGCACACGTTTCAGTCAACACATCTGCTAAAAAAGTTCTTAGCATCAGGAGGACCTTTTTCATTTTATAGATTTAACCTGAAGAACCTTGCTAAACTTCATTCTGAAGGTGATATTTTAATAGTTTTCACTTTTATTAGCCAATATGATTTACATCATCCTTTTCTATGTCAGTTTGAACTGCTTGAGGCTTGAAAACAGATGACACAATGTTTCTGTTGATTCAATTCAACATTGCATTTTGTTTCAAAGTAATTTGATGTGACATTTGATTGATTTTTACAGGAGAAAATGATGCTTGCAGAACAGCGTTTCCGCCAGGGGGGGCGTCTTGCCGTCATTTGAAAAAAACAAATAATTCGAGAGAAGATCGAGAGTTTTTATCGCTTGAAATGACGAAAAGGAAAAAGGACAAGGACATCCCTCTGTTGGAGGGGCAAAGGATTCTTTTCGCCGTCAGCAAAGCGTGTTCCTGTGACGGAAAGTGTACTGCCGGCGAGCCTTGACGGGGGGGGGCTAGTGGAGCACGCGCATGAACTGCGAGCGCCGGAGCCTCAGTTTCGCCGCTTCGAGGCTCCGTGGTAAACTGTGGTAAAATGAAGAGCCGGCTCTTCTTAGTGAGCCGTGCCAAATGATCCGGCTCACTAAAAAGAGCCGGAATTCCCATCACTAATACGTAAAGAGGGACGGCTCAATTAAAAATTCAAGTCACGTGACCGCCCCCCCCCAGGTCGGGGCCATCACTCTTTTGAATGTCAATGAACTGTCAAGTTGCCTCTTAGTTTTGTTCTGTCTTGGTCTCTTTTGGCAACTCTAGTAGTCACACGATATAACAAATATTATACAAATATAACAATGTGTATGCAAAATATGCATAATGTTATGTGTAAATAGTCATTCTGTTCCATAGTTATAAGGTTGCTAGCCATGTAAGCAATAGGGTTACTCGACACTTGGCAGTCACTCAGATAGAGGTGATACCGAGTGCATACTGTGAACTGGAGATATTTCATACAATTAGATCATTATTCTTTTAAATATCCCAGAAGGAATAAAACGCTTTGCAGTCCTGTAATGAAATGGCATGCATTGCCAATTAATAGGTTGGCAGAATGAACTTATATTTAAACATCTTTTCCTTTTAGTCATGGCTAAAGTACCACATGAAGGCCAACTTGTGGTACATGCATCAAGAGGATCAAAGCTAAATGATTCTCAAGTTTTGGATAGTTTGGAACTGATTATTAAGCATTATCCATAATTCCACATAACATTATTCTTTCATCCCACTTCTGTGTATATAAATACCTATCCAGACTTCTTTCGTTTCCTAAATCCATAGCCAACCTATAAGCAGAAGAGTATATGCACATGTGAAGGGATACCAAAGAGAAATGGTGCCGTGGGTCTGCCCCAAGACCGCACGAGTGCTCTGCTGCCAACAGTGCCTCCAGTAATTATAGACCAGAGCTGTGGAGACTGCTGCTCTCCAGGCTAAACTGAAACTAAACCCCCTATTTCATTCTTGGTATTTGGTCTTTTCAGTCCATGAGTACCCCGTGTTTAAAAACTGTTATTCTTGGGCTGTAGCTTGACTCTCTTCTGTTTATAGTTCAGCCTGACTGAGTTGAAAAGTAGAATTCTGTTTGGTAAATGCAGTAGTAGAAGCTTTGAAAACTGTTGTTGACACAACGTCTTGTTAAATAATAACTGCTGTCATTATGTTTGATTAACGTATTGATAACATACTCTCTACTGCTACTGCTGCTCCCATCATTGTAACTCACTGACAGTGTAATCAAATGACCATCGATTTTCCATCTCCAAATTGTAAATGATGGGACATGAGGCAGATGAACTGGGTCTGGATCTTGGATTAATTTGGCAGCGTAGCCTTTACTGCCAAGGAAGCTGTTGAAACAGCATTAAATATTAACAGTGATAAACACCAAAGCTTGTCGTTCTTACTGGAAAGTGTACTGAACCCCCCCAGGCCATCCACATCTCACAAACTGACCAGACTTGATTTAGCTGGACAGCTGCTGCTGTGGTGAAAGCCCCTTTCCTCGGACTCCTACTTTCCAATGACTGTGTGGTCTGTATCCTGCTGCTCTAATCACGTAAGGGTGGAAGGGACCTGTGGGTAGCATCTACTGTTCCTCTGTCATTAGATGTTGGGTGCAGGATGGCCCACCAGCCCAGCCTGCTGGAACCTTTGGATGTTGGTCATATATGTTTAAATCAATCTGTTCACCCCTTGCTTGTTCCCAAAGCTCAAGTTGGTGATCTTATTTCCAACCAAAGAGGCATTTTGGCTGTTGAACCTTTGTAGCCTTTCTCTGCTTCTGTTTGGAGTCATCATTTGTCTTGTCATTGCAAGCTATTTGTTGGTAATGTTCTGGTGTACAGGACACTACTAGACATGTACAGTATCTCGATGGACCAGTTTTCACAATTGTAAAGTTTGGACCCGTTTTTTCATTGATGATCTAGTATTTTGGCACAGCATGCTACATTAATATTGTTTCCATATTATTGATCTGCTCTGTTGCCTCTCAGTATTCCAATTTCCACACAGCCAATACAAACTCTCGCTCAGCTGCTCTCAATGTTTTGAAAACCTCTCTTAAGCCTTTAGCTGTCGTTTTTGGAAAGTATGTCTTGGTTTTCAGAGCAATAAGCAGCATATCAATTCACTATATAAGCTATATCAAGTGTTGTTGATTACCATATTTTTTACTGATGGGTGTTTACAGTGTTTTAAATATTGATCTCTATTTTCTCTCTCTCTCTTCTCATCAGTCACAATGAGCGGAAGGTGACCTGCAAGCATCCTGTCTCAAGCCAGCCCTCACAAGACAATTGCATCTTTGTCGTCAACGAACAGTAAGTCTCTTGTTTTTTGCTTTTAGAATGCAACCGAGCAGCACTTTTGAGCACTACAGTGTGCTGTTGCAACTTGGCCACCCTCTATTTGCAGTTCTGCCCTTTCAGATCAAAGCCTTTTCTATTCAGCGCTTCTCTATTTATTTATGGTAACAAATTCCTTAGAAATAAGAAGTTAACTTTCGAATGGCAGTGACCATTTTTTGATATTATAAACGAAGTTGTATGTATTGCATAGCTAGACTGCTGTTTTTTGCCAAGTTTCAAGTGTCATTGTCATTGATGCTTTGGGCCGACAATAAGAAGACTTTGTATCATGCAGTCATCAGCTGCTGGGAATGCAGGGATTTAACGGACGTCACTCGTTTTGACCCTTTGACGAGTTCATGTTCTTTCCAGTGGTCAAAAGTAGAAGGAAGTACCCACTCGCAATGCTATGTCCATGTGATTTTTGTGCACTACTTTCAGTACCAGTCACATGTCTGACCACATGACTGGGTCGAGGGCCAGTCCTCTTCAACCTTTTACTTCAACAACAACAACAACTCTATGCATCTGTCAAACTACAATTGAGTTTATGAGTCCCTTTTTTTGTTTGATCCACCTTTCATTCTTGAACTTTACCCATGGGTCACCCACAGTCAGGTGTGGACCATGTCAGGCAGTCTGTCCAGAGATTTGCAGCATGTCCAAACCCTGAAAAAGGAAGATGGATGCCCAACCCAAAAGTGTACAAATATACATCATCTTGACTGTTTTTGTCACAGCCCACTCAGTGACATTAGCTTTAACTCTACTCCACCGCCCTAGTCATCTTAGCTTAACGTTGTGCAACATGTATCAGATCCACTCAGTTTCTCACTTCCCTCAGAAAGCCCCTGTCATGGCAGATTCTCTATAAAGTTATTTAGCTGTGCCGAAGTGATGTCATCTCAACTGGGGTCACTTATCTTCTTGAGAAATGAATGCTGATGGAAATAGTCTCCGCTTCAAGACATGACATTTCACTCTCATGTGGGATATTATGGCCAGAGTCCAATATCTTGTGGAGTAGGAATTCCCTGATGTCCCATCATGGGCACCGTTTTCCATATTTTTTCAATATGTGGCTTAGGAATGAAAGCCCTGGTTTTACTAGGATATGATATCTTGAGCTTTTTTGTCTCTTCAAATTCGTACGAGCTGGATTTTGTCAGCAGAGACGGGATGATTGGAAAATGGTTGTGAAGACACTTGTTGTGCAAGAACTGTCGCACTGCACTCTCTTGACACATTCCTCTGCTCACTGTGCTACTCTCACATCTCTGCTGCTTTTCACGCTGAGAGGCTCCACACGCTGCTGCTAGATGATATCTAACTGAGCAATTAGTGTAACGTGTCATTGTATAAGTAATCTGCAAAATGAATGTGAGATGTACCAGAGGTCAAATTTGGGAATGCACATCAAAGTTATAATCCTACTACTCGACATGGTTTTATTTCCACGTCTTTACAGTGCTTTTCATCAACCAGTTGGCTCTGTTTTTAGAAAAAGTACTAAGAGGAAAATCTTCACCCTGGACAAGTAATAAAAGGCAAAGACGGATTTAAGCTGCCGCGGGGATAAAGAGGTTGAAGAAGCTGAAAATCACTGCCTAATCTGCTCCGCACTCTCAGTAAATCCCAAACACGGAATTTGTTTTACATTTACCATGATCATTTTCAGTGCAGACTTAGTATAACATGTAAAGAACATAGACTCAAACAGAACTGGCAGCAAGACAGTGAGGCCTACAGTACATATACGTCTGTCACTCAGACTGATGTTCAGGTGTGCTGTAATGTGTGAGTCATGGCTTAGTCCCGTTTTTGTGAAGTAGGGTCTCCCAGATGAGCAAGTGTCTCAGCATTCTCCTGTCATTACTGTGCTGTACATGACGTCTTGGCTTATCATGTTAGTGGTCCACCATGTGCAAATTGACAGGAGAGATTTATATAACTCACATGTAACACATGTTTACCAAAACATGATTTAACATCCTCCGCAAATCCTCCATAAAACTCATTTCAAGAGCACGGTGTCATTTAAATTCATGTTGGATGTCATGAAAACATTAATTGCAGACTTTACCATGCAGTTTGTGCTGTCAGGGCTCCCTTTAATACCTCTCGATGTATAAGTCAATTAAAGGCAATGATGAAAATTGAAAAGCTGGATTGCATTATGGGAATGTTGTGTATTTTATACTATTTTGACAAGTATCTAGATCTACACGTTGTCAGTCACTTTTTCTATTAATATGATGTACCAATAATACAAGATTGAACTGACAAGTTACATAGTTATAGTTAGGGCTGCTCCATTAATCATATTTTAATCGCAATTACGATTTTGGCTTGCAACGATTATGAAAACAACATCGAAATAAAACGATCTTTTTTAATTTTTTTTTAAAATTATTTTATTTATTGGCTTTTCAATTGAATTATACTTACAGTTCAGGGTAATCAACTGTTAAAAACATACTGTTCAACTTTTTATTTTTCAATAAATGGATGTTTTCAAAGTAAATGGATAATCGTTTTTAATAATCGTGATATCAATTATTGACCCAAATAATCGAGATTATGATTTTTGCCATAATCGAGCAGCCATAGTTATAGTTATAAAGTTAGATATTTACAGTCACAGATACATCCACATCCATGACTCCTAAGTGCTCTCAGTCCTGGGTGGCGATAGGAGAAAAGAGAACATACACATATGACTTGTCTTGTATTGGATGTTGTGAAATAAATAGACTTGGTATATAACAACCACACTCTTCGAAACCCCTCATTGGTAAGAACATGATCTCTACATGTCGACACACTTGTTTTTCCTCTGTTTTGTAGTGTGAATTGTGGAAAATGGTGTCACCCAGCATTTAGCAGGTAATACTATACTAACTGTGTCGTCCACATTAGTATGTAACGCGTCTGTTAACTTGTTGTCACACACTAACGACACACTGTGGGTGTTTTATATAGTGTTTTGCCTGATGACCTGTTTTATGCATTTGCATTCCAAAGTCCTGTAATGTGCACTTTACCGTCTGAACCGTTTGTTGTGTCTTTCTAAACCTCAATGAACAACTAACTGCAGGGACTACACTGCATCTTTGAGCCTGGGACCAATGTACACACTTATCTTGATCTGCTTGCCTAGTCTTTCAGTCTTTCAGTCTTTTGTTGGTTAAAAAAGATAAAATGCTAGGTTTACTGCCAAACAAAAGTGTTTGAAAGCACTCTTATTTCTTTAGAAATGCTGTGTGGTCATTTTAAAATGCACCCTCAGCCGCTCAGTTCACTGTTCCCCCCCGTGTGCTGAGAGCGCCAAGCTTCAGTAGCAGTGTAATCCCTGCTCACTCTTTTTGCACACACAGCCCCACACAGGCACACAAAATCCATGCAGGACCAGGCAGGGGTGTGACGCCCTAAATGGATACGGGTTAGTCCTGACATATAGGATGGTTTGTCAGCTCTGTGATGGTCATGCAATCTGTCCACGGTGATGGATGCTCGGTAAAGCTACGCTATATTATTTGAACTTAAAAAAGGCCACATTTTTAACTACTGTAAACTCCCCTTTCCGGCTTCACAGGTATATAGTCATTTGTTCTTCAAGACTTTGAGATGTATTGTCTCGACATGCTGTTGTCATGGACCTGTGGTAAACACAAAGATGGCTGTCGTTGAGCTCTGGTATTTTGCTAAAACTGTTACAGTGTTCATTCACCACAGTCCTGTCCACTGTGGGTTACTGCTGTCTGGATACGACACCAACCTAAACAAGAAAATAGTCATTTAAAGCAGACAGACTCTCAAAACAGCATTGTGTGGAAGTTCATGCTATATTTTAGAGCAAAGGATCATTTCAAAATATAGATGTGGAGTATTTGGTGGTCTCCATTGCATGTGTGCATTGTATTTACTGTAAGTGGTTTAGAAATAAATAGTTCAGAGGCGGGGGGGGAATGCTTTGAAGAGTTAAACAAAAACCACAGCTTTATTCAGTATTTACAACTATTTTGTATTGGCACAATTATTGCAAAAATTTCATAAATCTATCGATTAGATTTATGATTGTAAAATTATAAAAGTAGGGTAGACATGTGGAGATTATCCGGCTGAGCCAAACGTGATCTGTCTCTTCAATTTGTGTCAACCACAGACCTTATTTCCAGCTATTTTCCAAAATCCTATGGAGAAATTGCATTGCTTTTTGTCGAAGGAACCGGAAAGGGTGAAATGCTAACTTACTTCCGGGTTTTAGGAAACGTCACTGTGGCACTCTATAGGTCAGATATAAAAGCATATCTTTTTTTAAGTGATACATTTTGTGAGTTGTTTTCCTAGTTTTATACAAATGCCACACATTGATTGTTGCAGCTTTTTCAATGAAAAGGATATGCTGCTTTTACTTGTTAATGTTAAGTATATTTTAAACTGTTTTTTCTTTGGATTTCCATTATTTTTCTAACATTTTGTACTTAATCGTAGATAAAGATTGTCATTATTTTGTAAATGTGTTAGTTTTGTGATTTTGCTTTTAATGTTTATACCTTATTTTGATCATAATATAAAACATAGTTCATGAACATTTTCAGCATACTTTTAAATAATGTAGTTTAAGGGTATTCAAATGTGTGGATCGGGACTGTAATGCAGCATCACTAGTTTGTTATGTCCGTCTATCTCTTACACTAAAGGGGCTACTCAGTGCTTTTTAATTTCAGCTCCTATGCAGTAGAGTTATTATCACACAATTTACTTAATTGTAGCTCAAAGACTGAAAATGGTTTGTTGGTCCATAGAGCCACACCTCTCATCCCACCCCCCCCTTCCTCTGTGTTTCTGATGGCCGGTGGACACACCATTGATTTTGGTTCACTTAGGATATCGCCTGGCACTCGAAGTGCTGCAAATCCTCCCAGTTCATTTTTCTCAAGATAGGCCATTACATGGAGAAGCTGCTGTTTTTAAGATGTGAGAACATTGTGTGCACTTCAACTAGAGAGAGCATTAGTCACCCACTTGTCCATCCATTTACTTCTTAGATTTGCCACCGCTGTACAGAACCCTCTCCTTTATTCCGTCACTTAAGACAGCCAGTGAACTATAATAATACTAATAAGAAAAAGTCTCTTCCATTTATGAAACTCTTTTATATAATTAGCAATCACAAGATCTCAAGTACATAATAGTTAGACCTGGCTTCTTCTTGGAGTTAAGCCTTACCTCCTAACAAACCATGTACTGTTAATACAGGTAACACTGGGAGGGTCAGTGAGTGTCCTTGTTCTGTGTTTGGTAGCTGCAGACCTGTCACTGTGCTGCACGGAGATGAACATCCTGTGTGTTGCCTGCTGCTGTGAGCCCAGCTGATGTTATCCTTTGTGATCCCTGTGTGTGTGTGCACCTTGAGAATAACAGCATGGAGTCTGAATTGTTAAAACATTTCTAAATATATTCTGAGTTTCTTCTCTGATAGATTGGTACAGATGCATGAAAAGTAGATGATGCAGAAATCGATCGATTATAGACTTTGTAATGAGTGCCTCATTTATACCGAACGGTACCATATCATCTGAAGTCTACAACTGTTAGGTCATTCCTCAAATTGGCCGGGTAGATGGGGGAGTTTGCAGTGCAGGGTTGGCGGCTTCTCTCCTTATTCTCTTACTCGGTGACCTGAAACCAAAGCAGTATATCTGAGAGTTTTTTCCTTTGCTGCAGTATTTCTGCTCCTCTGTTTTTTCAGTCTCGTTCCCTCTAGACCACAGCGTTGTTCCCCTCCTACAGAATGTAGGACATCTCCACGGGCCTGAGACAACTTGTTTCACACAGTCTTCTATCCTATGGCAAATGCACTGAACTCAGGATGCTGTCAACTTTTCCTTTGTCTTTTAAAGGCATCCTGACCTGATTCACTGCTGCTCTTCACCATGTCAGGCCAATTTTGCAGACCATTAAAAGCTGTTAGACAACTGGGAGTGTATCTGCTGTGACATGGTGGGAGTAATTGGCTAGATACACAGGCCCATGTTGAAATCTCATTATAACAAAGAGTTTGAACTTCCGAGGGTTGGACGATAAAGTCTGCCTCCTCCTATTCTCCTTTGTATATTCAAGGTCAGTAAATATAAAGCAGAAGTCTATACAGGGTGTCCGCGGGGTCTTAAAAAGTATTTCAAGTTGATGAATCAATTTAGCGAAAATTAAGGCTATTAAACGGCATTTTCCAAGGTATCACATTTTCAATAAGTATATAAATGGTCCAAAGAGGTTGTATTCTACAGTCTGCCTGAATGTAATCATTGCGTAGGTGTGTAGTGTGATTCTGTGTAGTTTATTAATGGCATCCCGTTGGGTTTGACGTCATCTGAACAGGACATCGCACGCTCACTGCTTGAGAGCGTGCGAAGGTCCGTTTACGCCGGTTGTTAAACAACATCGTTATGGGGAAATGCAAGTCTGCGTCCAAATGGTTGGAAGATAAGGAGGAAGGACAATCAATACTGTATATAGTCAATGTGAGGTAAAGTGTGTCGCCAAGGTAACCGGTTAAAACTCAAAGTGGCGATGAGGTCTTAAAATGTATGGAAAGTGTCTTAAAGGTCTTAAAAGGTATTGCATTCGACTTCAGGATTCCCGCATATACCCTGATATATTTCTGACTATATAATACCATATTTTCTAATATGCTCTTGCTCTGTCTTCTTTCTTTAGATCCGCTTCCAAAGTGCCGTCGAATGAGAAGATGGATCGGCCACTGAGCACCATGACTGAGGCCTCCAACTACACCAGCGGCTCGGACTACGCTGCGAACCCCAACAGTCCAGCAGGAAGAGTGAGCAACACACACACAGGACAGGATAGTCATGCATGTTAGTCTAGCTTTCCTTTGTGTGGATTGATCTCACAATTCCACTGTGTTTCTAGCCCTCAAGACCTTCCAAAAAAATCCACAACTTTGGGAAGAGATCCAACTCCATCAGGAGGAATCCCAGCGCCCCAGTAATGAAGAGAAACTGGCTTTATAAACAGGTGAGCCATATCAGCCAATCAAACAGTAACCTGAAATAAATGTACACGATTAAATGTTTGGGGAAAAGTGCATGAAGAGCACCGGGTAAACTTAAACGTTATGTTTCTACAACTTTCCTCTTTTTAACGCATAGAGCAATGTCTCTCGCCTTGGGAAACAAATCAAGTGTTTTGATGTCTTACAGCATCTGAGCACTTCTTTGTCCGGTGTCTCTGCTCAGTGTTTAAGTACCAATCCCTCATCACAGCTCCTTGGTTACTTTAAGGGGGAGGGTGAAAGGGGCGGGCGGGAGTGCTTGAGGCAGCTCTTTGCCAGGCAGGACTCTCTCTTGCTTCCTAAGTGGGAGACTCATTTAGTTTTGATTGCAGCCTCCCGGCGCAGCTTGTGAACACACGATGGCTTCCTTTGGCACAGCTGCCAGCTGCTATTTCTTTGGGGACCTCAATCAGGGTGACGTAGATCAAGCAAACGTCTCACAAATCTGCCTCCCTGAATAAAAGCTGGATTTGCACTTTTATTTCCCTGCCTCATTGAAACCTGGGAGCTATTGAAGTCTTTGGCTGAGGGGAAGCTGGAGCCCTTCAGGTGATCCTTTGGGGAAAGAAAATGCCACAGTGGTTGAAGGGATGGTGAAAGAAACCTTATTCACAACTTTTTTGATCAAGTTTTTTCATGGACTGAGTTGTTAAGACTTTAATTGAACAGAGGGAAGGTGATAAATTAATAGATGCAAGAGGTTGGACTCTTTCTGTTACATTTCTGATTCTGTGCTTCCATTATCAACACGCTGAGCAGCATCTGCTATTGAGACTGTTTGATACTAATGCCTTAAACATGCTGGTTCATGGAAGTGAATTTCCATTTAAAGTAAACTGCAGCCCACATGCCGTTTGACCATAATGACTGAGTTGTTGAAGTCCCTCCCCCTGCTTTTGTCTCCGGGTGAAACCCACGATTAAGGACTCTGCTCAAGTTTTCCAATAAAGCAAAAGGGGGGGGGTTTAATACCCTTTTCCTCACCCTTTATCCCTTCAAGACGCAGCCTGAAACCCCTTTGATCACAGCATTGTGATACCAGAGAATAACTAAAGCAAAGGAGGTTTGTTTTTGTTGCCCAGTGAATAACATACTTTCTTTTGAGAAGTGAAAACTGTTTATTTGTCGGAAATGTTATACACAGTGGAACACTCTCTTTATTATGTTATTTCTATTCCAGAAATCAAATGTTTTCCCTCAACCAAATAAAGTACCTCATACTTCATCTCAGGCCAATAATATGTTACATTTGAGAGGCAGACAAATTGCAGCATAAAGTGGACGAGTTGCAAACTGTCAGGAGTGGAGGAGGCCTTTCAGACCAAAGTGTGCAGAAATACTGGTCCAGAAAAACTAAACAGGAAGTGAATAACAATTTCAAAATACAAATGAAAAAGTATTACATTGGAAATGGATAATAACCAAGTATATTGAGCTACAACTAGAAAACAATCACTAGATAACATTACATTTGAGGAGAGGAGTGGACTACAACAAGTACTGTTCTCGATCATTTCCCAGTCAGACCTTTCCCACTAGTTTTGGACTAACTGTTTCCTATTTCATTTGGTGTCTTCCAGGACAGCACAGGGATGAAGCTGTGGAAAAAGAGGTGGTTTGTGTTGTCTGACCTCTGCCTGTTCTACTACAGAGGTGAGTCCTGGTCTCGCAGCCACTAACATGCTTCATTAGTATTGCACGGGTTACAACAATGGTGCTTTTCCATTAGCAGTCCAAAGGGCTGTTTTGACCTTCAGAGCTGGGCTCTTGGCAGTTGTTTATATATCTGGATCCAAGTCCCTGTGGTAAGCAGCCTGTCAGGACCAACTAAGGAGACATATTAATTGAAATGGCTCTCCTGTCATCTGATTTGCCATTTGAGAGATAATTTCTCCCCAAGCAAAGCCAGGGCTTTAAATAGGCTTTTGGAAACAGCCGTAATGTTGAGAGTGGAAGCAAAAGCAGGACATTGGATTTCGCTCTAATATAAAGTCACGAAACAAGTTTCCAGAGATGATGATGCTGTTGTTATAAAGGGGTTACATACTTGCTTGGATTAAGATGCTTTGAACAAAATCTGTCTTTTTAAGATTCCCTTTTAATTTCACATTAGAGTGACTACTATTATATAATGACTCTGATCCTCCTTTTGAATATCAGTGGTTCTTACTTGGTCCTGTCATTTAGTAAAGACTGCCCGAACTTTCACAACCAAGTGAAGAAAATGTCTTTTTAGACTGGAGCAAACTTGAATGATCTGTTATGTTGTTTAAATAACCCTAGGCAACTTAATTGTAATCATAACATTAGTCGTGTTTTTCATCATAAGCCTGTTGTGGGAACACCAGTCCATTAAAAAAAGTTATTAAGATCTGGCTGCCCTTTCTCTTCGCTGCTGTAGGAAAACATTTGTGTCCTGTGTTCTTTTTTATTCGATGTTGTTGACTGAGCTGCTGTTGACTGGGCATTTCTATCATGCAGTACTAATGTGGATATCAAATATTGACACAGCTGTGTCCAGAGTTCATCCATCATTACTATTGGAAAATAAAATGAATTCTGTAAATCAGTAAGTTAAATGTAATCTAGGCCAGGATGCGGATAAAGAGAAAATGCAAGTCTTGCCTGGCATGTCCACATATCCCAAAGCCCCCTGCTCACTGTATACGGATACAGTCATCGTTTCTGCTGATCGGGATGACATCTCGTCTGTGTTATTTCTGTTGTCTGCCAGTCCTGTCGCTTCTTTCCGCCCACTGGCTGATAAAAGCCACAGACAGCAGCGGACCCAAAGGCTTTATCCGGACGGACATGTTGAGAAATCCACCCATCAGCAGAGAGTGGGCAGCGAAGGTCATGAACTGTGCTGCCCCTCAACTGCTAACTGCTGTAGATATCAGACTATTGTACGCTCAGGATCCCCCACAATGTGAGCTTATGTTCTGCAGAGTCCTCTGTGCACAGAGACCAAATGAATAAATACATGTGGGGCCAGTGGGCTGCATGTACAGCTAAAGAAAAGATCAATCCTCTAGCATAGCTCCAGGGAAAACAGCTCTTACTCTTTACTACCAGAGGCCGAACAGAGCTCAGGTAGCTTTTATTTCCCCAAATGTTCCCCACAAGCCCTGTCCTACAAATATGTGTTTGTTTCAGGAGACTGGCTTTTACATAGCAGCCCTAGTCAACACTTTGGCACACATACCATGCAGACAAAGCTAATGCTTCTGGGGCAGCAGAAGTCACTTTCCTGATCTATTTTGTTTTCCTGCATTGTTTTCGTTTAGTTATATTGCTTATAACAAATTAGGAGTTTAAGCAATTCCAAGCTTAAACTCGGGACCCAATCTAATCCCCCCTGTGGAGAGAGCTGCATTGTCAATGTGGAGCCGTGTCTGCTAACTTAATGAGGATTAGAGCGGCCTTGCTGTAGAGGACATTGAATCAATGTTCATCTTTTCCACTGATTGGACTCTGTTCATCTGTCCAACACACAATCATTTTTTTATCTTGCTATGCACTTGGTTTGTCTTTTCCCCTGTTTTATGTTTGCAAATGAGTGTTCCACATAAGAGTGCAGTGGAATATTATTGAGAATATGAAGCTAACTGACACAAATAGCACTTCATGCCTTGTGTTGATTTGTTTTTCTCTCTTCAGATGAAAAAGAGGAAGGGATATTAGGCAGCATCCTCCTACCGAGCTTTCGTGTTTCCATGCTGTCGGTGGATGATCACATAAACAGAAAATATGCCTTCAAGGTCAGTGCACGTTTTCATTCCTGTTTAACGTTGTTAGACTGCAGAGTCTTAGGTTGGGTGTAATTAAAGCATTAGTATTATTCAAAGCTCCAATTAAATGAGATGATTAGAGCTAAATGTACAAACCTCCCAAAAGGTCCTTTTGATCTGGTTGATGTTTATTAGCGCTCTCCTAAGTGTTTTCTTAAGCGTACATATCACTGATTCGAAGAGTTTTTCTCTTTGCTTTAGAATCATTAGCAATTGACTCACAGTGAAGTAATTTAAACTTAAGCTACACATTGCTCATGCTTGGAAAGCACACACACTTCCTGCCACTGCTACGTCTGCTACTGCCAGTAACGTAGTACTAGAGCACTGCAGTACTCTTACACTGAACAAAAATATAAATGCAACACTTTTGTTTTTGCTCCCATTTTTCATGAGATGAACTCAAAGATCTAAAACAATATAAATAAACATTGATTGAAAACATTTTCTACATACACAAAATAACCATTTCTCTCAAATATTGTTCACAAATCTGAAAAGATCTGTGATAGTGAGCACTTCTCCTTTGCCGAGATAATCCATCCCACCTCACAGGTGTGGCATATCAAGATGCTGATTAGACAGCATGATTATTGCACAGGTGTGCCTTAGGGTGGCCACAATAAAAGGCCACTCTGAAACGTGCAGTTTTGCTTTATTGGGGGGGTCTGGGGGGGTCCGAAAACCCTAGGGTTAAACTCTAACCCTAACATGTCACCCATTGAGCATGTTTGGGATGCTCTGGATCGGCGTATACGACAGCGTGTTCCAGTTCCTGCCAATATCCAGCAACTTCGCACAGCCATTGAAGAGGAGTGGACCAACATTCCACAGGCCACAATCAACAACCTGATCAACTCTATGCGAAGGAGATGGGTGACATGTTAGGGTTAGGGTTAGGGTTTAACCCTAGGGTTTTCGGACCCCCCCCCAATAAAGCAAAACTGCACGTTTCAGAGTGGCCTTTTATTGTGGCCAGCCTAAGGCACACCTGTGCAATAATCATGCTGTCTAATCAGCATCTTGATATGCCACACCTGTGAGGTGGGATGGATTATCTCGGCAAAGGAGAAGTGCTCACTATCACAGATTTTTTCAGATTTGTGAACAATATTTGAGAGAAATGGTTATTTTGTGTATATAGAAAATGTTTTAGATCTTTGAGTTCATCTCATGAAAGATGGGAGCAAAAACAAAAGTGTTGCATTTATATTTTTGTTCAGTGTAGTTGACCTGGAAACCCCAAGTTACAGGGCAGCTGCGGTGTGTACAGTGTATGACTGTGCGTCCTTCATAAACCCTAACAAAGTTATCCTGCCAAGCGCAGACAAACACAGACGCCCAGGAGTCTGCTCAAGGTTTCTGCAACCACACAGCCCACTGCTTTCCAACTGAGACTCAGAGAGAGAGAGAGAGAGAGAAAGAGAGAGAGAGGAACACGAGAGCAGGGCCCGACCTCCTCAGTTTACACTGCTTTGCTCAGGAATGGATCACTTTTTGACTGCACTTATCTTTGAATCTTTTCCTGTCTCTTGTGGCCCAAATAGCAATGTTATTAAACCATCCTTAGTTCTCAGGGATATTCAGAAGTAATTGGGGCTATGACGGTGCTTGTTTTTCCGACATTGGTCAACAGGATATTGAGGTTGTCCACTAAACATTCTGTTTTTCTCTTTTTGTGGCTGGCCGAAACAATACATTGGTTTGTTCGCTGCAAGGGAACAAAGCAACAACGGAACAATGTGTCTGCCACACACTTGAACTGCATGGTGAGTCCTTCAGTTTGACGGCACATTTTCTGCTCTAATCTCATGGTATGCATGAAACCCAGGTGACTCATTTTTGGATTTATGTGTGGATGCCCACAGGTGTAGTATTTCACATCAAATTTGTATCACTATTTGCCAAAATGATATGCAAAAAAAAAATTCCATCACGTGTATCAATTGCTTTAAATTGAGTTAGAAACATATAAAAACAATTTGAATTCATTGGTCTGTCTAAAATCCCTGTTTTCTTCTTCTCTCTTTCAGGTAACTTTGTGTGTCACTTTCCATTGTCGAAAAACAGGCGACGCATCCCAACATGCGGACATACTATTTCTGCTCCGACACAGCTAAAGAGATGGAGTCTTGGATGAAAGTCATGACAGATGCTGCACTTCTGCATTCAGAGCCGGTCAAAAGGTTTGTCAAAGGATATAGTGTATTTGACGTTGGCCGATTACACTGTGCTGCTTCGCTTTTCAAAGCACAAATAAACATTTAAAAAAAGGCATCCGATGACAGCTCTTTAAACGAGTATGATTTACTTGGTTATATTCTTGGTGATTTTCCTTTTGTCAAACCATTTTCACTGTAAGAGGGCTTTCAATTCCATTTTCCAAGCCTGTTCAGTTCTTAAGCAAAGTTCACCATTTTTTACATTTCCAGAGTCAGGGTTTGTTGAATGACTATTTAAAACAAAACCTTCTGTTGAGGTTTATTACAGAGTAGCATACGCATGAATTCCATTTGCATTAGCTCACACACTTTCCTTGTGAATCTATGCTGTTGTTGTTCTTCAGAGGATGTTGTGCAAAGCTGTGCTGGCTGATGAAGATCACTGACTCATCAGGATAGGGGTTTTTTCCTTCCCTTTTTTTACCCTTTGTTAAATGTCATTTGGCAACCCCCATTTCTAATGTGCTCCTTTTAACATGGGTGAGCAGAGGCGTTATGGTAAAGTGCTTTGTAATTACACAGAGCAGTAGTGCCTAAAACCCACGAAAAAGCACTGTCAAATGTGAAGTCGTTATAAAGCTATTCTATTTGAACAGAATTGTAAAATCTATATCGACTGAAGGATACCCTAGTTCAGTCACTATCTAGTGTGTATTGTATTCTATGTACAGTATTACACTTTATTACACCTCTTTCTATTTTAAGCTGGTGGGAGCTGTAAAAAAGAACCCGATATCCCAATTCCTTATTTGTTCAGGAGCTTTCCCTTTAATGCATCGACAGTCTCTCCAGGAGGATGATGAGTAGATGCACACAGACCATTCACAGAGCTGAATGTGAGCTCTGCTGGGCTGCTGGAGCCACAGATGGCTGGAGAAGACATTACGTGACTGGTGCAGCTATTTCAAAGAATACAAGTGGAAACTCTCAAGGAATGCCTTTCCTGCTACCCTCTTACTGGTAACCCAGTGAGGCGTGCTGCGAGAGGGGAATTTGCCAAACTTTGAAGCTGTGACCTTGAGTCTGTCTAAGGCCAAGGAGTACTGGTGTCAATTACTTCTGGAGTCCTCCCTAAGGAGCCGTATATAGGTCTTCTAGTGAGGAGGCAAAAGGGAGCAGCAAATGGATTACCGGTCTGAGCAGCACCTTTGTACCGTGCAGCAGGAGAGAGAGGCAGCGTTTTATTGGAGATATCTGATTTCCCTTTTACATGCCTGACCTCCTCTAGCACCTGGAAGAAGCATTGTTCCCCTCCGGCTATTTTCATTTCACTTCAGATTCAGAGCTGCCCCAATTCGCAGAGTTCACAAATTCACAAATAAAGTTACTGTATATTTTAACAATACTCCTTAAACTCATTTTGCTGGTGATCAATGACACAGATGACTATCCCATCTTCTTATTTAATCCAATAAAAATAATATAGCAATAATATAGTTACCATCTTGCCATCTCTAAGCTGGTGATCTTATGACTTGATTAGCTAACGCAGGGACTGAGATGTTTCTCGTTATAATTCTAACGCCTCCTCTTGATTCTCATCAGGTTGGACAAGCTAAATGTGGAGCAGTGTGGACCCCAAGAAATCAACAATGTAGCCAACCACAAGCCGCCACTCACACAGCCTGAGATCCAGAACAATGAGCTGAACCGCGAGGCTGACCGTGAGCACGCTGCAGCGGTCCAATCCGCCGCAGCAGAGGAAGACAGGAAGTTGCGCGACGCAGAGCGCTACGGCTTCCAGAAGGACGGGGCGGAGCGGGAGCGTCCCCTCACAAAGATCAACAGCATCAAGCTGCAGCCGGCCCAGGCAGCGGCCGTCAAAGCTAACCTCGCCGCGCCGCAGACTCCCACAGAAGTAGACGGGTTGCAGCGCAGCCCCCAGGTCAACGGATCTGCTGAGCACTCTCCAGCTGATAAGACTGGAACCCCCCCTCAGCAGTATACCCCCCCTCAGCAGTATACCCCCTCTCAGCAGTATACGCCCTCTCAGCAGTTTACCCCCTCTCAGCAGTTTACCCCCCAGGAGCCAGACCGCTCCTCCCTGAACAGAACCAGCTCCATGCAGCAACTCGAGCAGTGGGTCCGCACACAGAAAGGACGCAGCCAGGATGACGACACCAGGAGGTTAGTTTGATTGGTCTTTTGCAGCGTCAAATAAAACACTCAGATACTCATTATTTAGTCTCCAGATATGTGTGCTGTAAGAGGAGAACATATGCCAGCACAAGTTGATTTAGGTTACTACACAAGAGTCCAATCTTGTCCTACTTTGACAACTAGGATTGGATCTTGGCTAAACTTGGTGCATTCTATAAATTACTATAAATGTGCAGAGTCCAATTTTCCAAAGCTTTTTTGACTTTAAACAACTCGGCTTTAAAAACTAATGGGTCCGAGGACTCATACGCTCCTCACAATGATTTATACAATTTAATATCACACTGCTAAATGTAAAAGTCAGAGGAACTGGGGATAAACAAAAGCTGAACAGAGCTGTTGGAGTTACTGCCCGCCACTGACCCTGCTGTGAGAGCCCCCTTTTTAATAGGTTGAGATTAAACCTGCTCTCTCACTGTGTCTGCCCGTCTGTCAGCATATCTGTCTCTCCATCTGTTTATCATCGCCTGGCTTGTGTTAATACCTCTTTGCCTCCACTCACTCCTTTTAGAAATAAACAAACATCCCTGTTCTGAGCCATTCATGAATGTTAAAAGTTGTCATGGATGAATCAACAACGAGGTCCTTGGTCCTTATCTCCGTTAGTGTTCCTCTGAAAAGCATGTTGACTCTCACCCTACGCTGTCGCCGTTTCAACAGTCTCTGTTTGTCGTCACCGAGTGATCTTTAGTTTCCATAAAGTCACAAGCCCGTTTGAATGCTTCTGGGTTTTACAGTAGTCACAGATTGAGCAGGAAGCTCTCTTGATGCCAGCTGCACTGACTCTGTGGAAGAGAAGCTTTGTTGTTACTGGAAAGGTCTTATTGGTCCTGGGGCTGGGGGGGGGTTCTTTTAGAGTGAAGCGTCCCTATTGAAGATAGATTGAAGACCAGAGGCGATTTGCAGATACAAAGTTTTAAAGAGGCAAATAACATTTTTTCATCAATTTCATAACATGACATGTTTGGATGAGTGAGTCAAACATTTAAAATGTGAAGAAAACAAATCTGAGTTACAATAAACAACTTTATCTCTACTATCAACCTCCAACCACGAGTCTGAAATTCATATTTGATGAAAAGGACAAAATCTAATTATAAAATAGTTGAATTATGATTAAGTTGTTGTATCTCCTTTGAGCATTGATAAGTTCTTAGAAAAATAAACAGATATGGAAGCAGTTATCTCACTACATCATAATAATAGTCAGCAAAAGGTACTGCTAAATATTTCAACTCATAACAACCTCCGTTTTGTTTTTTTCTCCCCAGCATTACGTCATACCAGACGCTCCCTAGAAACATGCCAAGCCATCGGGTTCCTTATATGCCTCATTATGGTGATGGCTACTGCAGTATGCCCAGGAATAGCATGGCGCAGCGGGACAGCATCTGCAGCATGTCTCCATCTCTGTACGAGCAGGCCCTGGGTCCCTCGCCGGGGGACAGGCGCGGCTCCATGCGGGACGACACCATGTGGCAGTTGTTCGAGTGGCAGCAGAGGCAGGCCTACACCAGGCCGCCGGCGGCGCTCTACAGCAACATGGCCAGTCCCAAAACCATGATCAACCTGTCGGAGCACACCGCACCGAGCCACTCCATCCCCCCCTCGCCCTCCCACGGCTCCCTGTCCATGCACGGCGGCTACTCTCCCATGAGATCCTACAACATGAACAGTGCTCGCTCTGAGGTTTCCTCTCCCGTTTACAGAGGAGACATGAGCATCGACCGACGCCAGAGACCACAACCCAACAAGGTCAGTTACAGCACACATACATGCTAAAGGGGCGGTTCACCTACGTAACGAAGATATGATCAATCACTTCTACTTCTAGGCTGCTGCTTATAGATTTGATTTGATCGTGTGTTGATATGACTATCCCTGAGATAAAACCACATATTTAGTTTGAGGAGATCGTAGCAAAAATTAATATTGTAGGACAGAAAGCAAAAGCAACTTCTCCTGCCTCAATCAGCTGTACAACCAGCTTACTGTACTTTCCATTATAAGTATCATCTTTTCTTAAAAACACTTGACAGCATGTACTTTGTATCACACAGCTTTTCGAGTGATTTTCTTTTTACATACAGTACTCTTCCATTCTTCTCTATTTAGATTCATCATGACATCAATCTAAGACAAGTATCTAAATGGCCAAACATACCGCTTATGGTACAGTGGTGGATGTGAAGGACTATTAAAAGTATTTCATAGTGTAAAACTACTGTTTGTTTGTACTATGTCTTGCAGTATGCCTACCCCCCCGATCGGAGGTCTATGCCTGCAGGGATCCCAGTCCAGCCTATCACTGCCCAGTCTCTCCAAGGCAAAACAGTAAGTCCTCACCCATGTTCTGTGTCCATCCCTTTTTTCTAACTGAATTTCTGTATTACGCCACCTAGCAATTTCACGCTTGAAAAGGTGTGTAGACCACACACTTAATCATTCCGGTTTAATTGCACTTCTAACAGAGAAACAGCTATTTGTATAACTTCCCCTGCCCTTCCTTTCTCCCTCTCTCTCTCTTCCTGTCCTTCATTCCCTACCAAGAAGACATTGTGACAGACTCTTTAGAGACAGATTTAGGCACATGTATGTTCCAAGTGGTGGGATTTCGGGTATCCTCTGCTTCTCATCAGTGGAGATTTAAAAAACGCCGTCACTCAACTCTCTAAGCCAGATCAGGAATTGATGTCAAGGCGCTACGCAGTGCTATGTCCTCATGGAGCTGCTAAAGTGTGAACTGGATTCTGTAATACATGCTAAACTGCTCTTCTGTCTGGAGTGGACGTGTTGAATGTGCATGCTGCTGACTGCGATTGCACCTTGGATATTCCCATGGTACTAAACTGCATGACAAACTCAATACTTAGATTTATGGACTGTTCACCTATTGGGAGCCTGACACCTCTAAATCTCCTGTCCTGGTGTGTTCTCTCCTTCCCTCTCCCTCTCCCCTTGGGGTGTGTTCCTGTTTCATTGTGGCTGTATTTCCCTCCCTCCCTCCCTCCCTTGCAGCCTGAGGAACTGACTCTGCTGCTGATAAAGCTGCGGCGGCAGCAGGCAGAGCTAAACAGTATCCGGGAGCACACTGTAGCACAGCTTATGCAACTAAACATGGATGGCGACAACCCAAAGGTCAGGCCCCCAGAGATGCTCCTGCAGGCTTGTGTGTCAGCGTGTGGTGTGAATGCCATCTTTAACCACCTCCATTATCCATCTCGTTCAAGAGGATTTTTTGTTGGTCTTCACACATGGCTGACCTAATGAGAAAAGTTGCTGCAGTAAGCATTTTCTCCATACGAACCAAACTCTGGATTGAAGTTCTCTCTTCATCATAATTAGGGATCAGCTGTTTGCATCCAACTTGTTTTGTTACTAACAGCCTTTGGCTCTATACCGTTACCCGATCATTATATTTGATCTATTTCAAATTGGGAGAGCAGTTGATTGAATCATTTAACTTCCCCAAATAGTGCAGACAGATGTTTAACAGATAATGAAACGTCAAGCCGTTTGTGAGCTTAAAGAGGGAAGGGCTAAGGAGTTTAGGTCCACTGAAGTAGATCTTCATTTGAAGTCTCTTCTTCGATGTCAGAGTACAGATTCTGTTCCTGATGTAGGTCAACCAGGCCTGAGGTTAACATACTCCTGTCTCCTTGTACCAGTATAGCCTAGTGTTGCCTTAACTTATGTCGTTTAGTGGCATAATGACCAGGTCAATTATTATGCAAATTCAAACTTCAGCTCATAGCTTTCTTTGCATTTTGCCTGCATTTGGTGAAGTGTGCACATTGCTATGTAGTTCTTATGGAGCTCTAGTCTTTCATTTCCTATAGTACACTCTGTTACTTTATATAGCACAGCTGCTCCCTGACCTTATTTCTCCACCTTGACTGGTCCTTTCTTTGTGTGTGTGTGTGTGTGTGTGTGTGTGTGTGTGTGTGTGTGTGTGTGTGTGTGTGTGTGTGTGTGTGTGTGTGTGTGTGTGTGTGTGTGTGTGTGTTGTGAGGTCTTTTTTTCTCACTTTCCTGTTGCCTTGTATTTCCTCTTTTTTGCTGCTGACGTTAGAACGACATTCTCTCGCATCACCTCCAAAGGAACCTCATGTATTTGGACAATCAGGTGGGGTAATGCATGACCGCATGGCCCTGTCTCCCTCTGTCATGAACTGCCCATTGAATGCTCTGCTCTTATTATATAAATCAGTCCTGTCTGCTGAAAAGTCCTTTTCTGATGTCTAGCAAATGTACCATCAGTTTGATTTTATACGTATATTTGGTATTTTTATCCCAATGGATCAGTGTTCATTTTTCACTACAATGCATGGACCAATGTCACATACCACATCAGTTAGAGCTTAAGCTTGTTTGCAATGCCAATCACTGCAAAGCAAAATCATTCATCGTTAAGTCCTATATAATGTAGTCCTTAATATGTATCCTAAACTCACTGTCAGATATATTTACTGAATATCTGGATATTACTCTATTCTGTATTGTTTGCAGATGTGTATCATATCATTGACATTTTAAGTATATGCAAATAAATGTAATCTTCTATTGTTTTTATAGCTCTGAAGTTCTTCAAACGTTTGAGTAATTACAAATGCAACATATAGTAGCACACAACAGCCAAGATATGCATTTCTGATAAACATAGAGCAGATTCACTCGTATCTACAGAACATGAGCTAACCACATTTCTGCAACAATTGAGAATTATGTATGAAAAGAAACCAGAATACAAAACGTTTACCATCTACAGCCACATGCATTGCAACACCAGTGCCTCTCTATTGTTGTATCATTATAGTACATCAAAGCTCAACAGGAGCTTTCCGTGGCGTCTTTGCACTAAAGTGTCTTCCTGAAAGTGTCTCTGACTGCTTCTCGTTGCTCTATTCATCCCTGTTTGAGTCTTATTCATGAACATGAGAGCTATCGAGGTTTTTATTTCATATTGTCGCTTGTCAGTGTTTTCTTTGAAGTGAAGCACTGCTATAAACTGACACTTGCTGTATCGCTCCTCTCCACACTGGACTAGATGAAGGAAAATGAGCCTTTAATCGCCATGACTCACACTTTGATTGAGAACTCTGCCCCAAGGCCTCAACTTTACCAGCAAGTAAGGCCAGCCGAAGGCGTTGCTCCGCCTCCTCCTCCTCCTCCTCCTCCTCACCGGTCTCTGTTGTTATTTTGGTGTTTGCAATTCTCCTCCTCCGGTGTCCAAGTCCTCATCATGGCATCTTGAGACTGGTCTCCCTGTATCGTTTGTATCGCAAACACCTCTTCATCCATTGCTTTTCAATGTTCTCCTCCTGTTATGAGAAGTCATGCCAATTGTGACATGACTTGTAAAAGAGTTGTATGGTTCGTGCTTCACTGTTCAGTTAAATCCCTTCCTCACTCTCTTTGTGAAGTTTGTGTGTAAGGGCCGGATAAAGTTCACTCTAAAAGTTGCTACAAGAAAACTTCAGCTAGCTTCGGGACTGTCTTAAATCTAAAGCTGTGGTTGCACCCTTTAGACTTTACTCTTGTTGCCTTGTCTCGCGCTCTAACCAGTGAAGGTTAGTGTGTGATTTCTCATAACCCTTTGCAGAATGCTCTCCCTCTCATTAGAAGGGACACCTAGATGTAACAGGGTGAGTCTAATTAGTGTGACTTAATGCAGTGTTGTCAGACATGTCTATACTCAGTGCAGTGGATGACCAAATGCTACATCGTGCTGTGAAAATTGGAGGGTTTGGTTTAGGTCCTAATTAAGTGCAATAAAGTAATTACATGTTCCCCACAATAAAACGATATAACGCTTTAGAATTCATTTTGAGTCAACCAGTGCTACTTTAAACATTTCACAATCAGACTACTTCAGTTATCCTGGTGGGGATATTGAGTTTTGTGACGATTGCTCCTTTTAGAAAAACATTTAAAGAAAAAGTCGAAAAACAAATAAAAATAATGTATGGATATAAATATTTAAATAAACCAAATAATTTTAACAAAAATGTGCACATTGTACTACACATAACAATATGTGTATGCATAAATGTGTATTTTACTGTTCATACAGTGGTGTTGTAGTGTTTATAATTATATGTATGATTCAAATCAGATTATAGTTTGAAATGAACAGTAATTAAGTGACATGAGCACTGCACCGTTAATAATGCACAGGTTATGTGTATACACTATATGTAGTGGTCTAACACTGAATACACAGCAACAGTTATGTATTAAACTTCATACCTCAAATGGTCAGTGAGTGTTAATGTTTCCGAGGTAACCTCTCTTTCTTCCTACCTGTCTGCATTCCCTCCCCCCCCCACGTGTTGTTCTGCTGTTGGAGAGGATAAAGAGAGCCAGCTTGTGTGTGACGATGACTATGACATCACTTTGCCACTTTTGTGACCGCCTCCTGAGGTGTAAAAGTGTCGCTGAAAACTGTTCCCACCCACCCCCCCCTCCCCATTCATTAGCATATCGCCCGACAACAGCCTGCCATTCCACCTGTTCAGCTGTCAGAAGTCTGTCTCCCTCCTCCTCCGCCACATGTCACTCGTAATCCACACCACACAACCCCACAGTGAAGCCCCCGCACTGTGGCAGAGTCTGCATGCTCTGTGTGGAATGCCATGTGGTGCTCAGGTCCCCCCCTGCTTTAACTGTACTGTGTGCTTCAGCCGAGGAAAAAGGTGTTGAGAGAAATGTGTGTGTGAGAGTGCAGGTGTGAGTCTGAAACATTGGTATACAGTTGAGGCTAAAAATATTTGGACAGTGAATAATATTTGGCTGTTTTGTGCAGACCAGCATATTGGATTTTAAATTGAATATTGTCAATGAAGTTAAAGTGCAGACTCTTAGCTTGTATGATGTTTAGTCCAGGGTAAAGAACTTGCTTGAAACTTAAAGCAAAGATAACAACAACAAATGAGCAATAAGAGAAGATGGTTTGAGTCCAGGCCTAGCAGAGGGTCTGAGGGAGATATAAAGTGTGTTCTGATGTTCATTGTAACTTAGCCAGTCATTGACTACAGACGATTCAAATCAGCATGATATTCATTTTGGGAGAGTCAATGCTGATGTAAAGGAAAGTTGTATTTTGACCATATAGTCATGTAGTTTTCATATCAAAAGTTCGTACAATATCAAAACAGAACTAAAATATGTCACTGTCCTAATATGTATGGACTTCATATACATGTGTTTGAGTGAATGGACAATGTAGCATTATGTGATTTTCTGAAACGTGGGATCCAATGCAGTTTAATTTATTTCCTGTTCGAGCACCGTGACTTTTCTTAGTCAGGGTAGCAGAGGATGAGGTTTACTTTCATTACTTGTTTTTATATCTTGATATATGTTGACATCATTCTTTCATAGTATATCTAATATAGGTGTTGTAAAGTATAGTGTAGTAGCATCTCAATGCAGATATTGAACTGCTTGTCTGGATTTGAGCCTGAATTAAAGTACCTTAATGGCTATAACAAATGGTCAGTAGCATTACTACTATACTAAAAAAACCCTCTTAAGATCAGCTGTGATTACTTCAGTTGTTTTGGGCTTATCTTAAAGGAATACTGAACACAACACAACTCAGTTGAGCTCAGTCAGGCGGATTCCTTTAGACCAATTAGCTGCAGACAGAGCTTGTGCTGGAGAAAACACATTTGATGGATGCAGCTTATGTGCTGGCTCTAGAGTTTAGTTAGCGAGATTGTTTTACATGCTTTCCCCTTGCATTTCCAATAAAAAAACCACTGCTTTGTGCTGATGGAGACAAACAATTGTGGGTGATGAAACTCGAGTCCCCAGACTCATCAGAGAGGAGCCTGTGTTTAGACTGGCTGCTCTCCCACTGATGCTTTGCTAACTTAGACGGTCTGATTCTGTGAAATCTGAGTTTCTACTCAAGGACAAACCCCACCGCGGCTCAGTGGGAGAGCCTATCACGACACTGCATTAGATCTCCAGATTCTAATGTGTATGTGCATATTTGGTGTCTCTGTCTAATATCTTGTCTGTCTTCACAGTTAAGTCCAGAAGACTACAGGGAGCGCGCATATACACATATGCCAGAAGAGGTGGACATTGATGTAAGTTCTGCCTTTTGCTCTCATGACGTAATGTTCCACTCAACCACACAAGATGGCTCACATGTCTGTATTGTTTCTCTCTATAGACCAAACTCAGCAGGTTGTGTGAGCAGGATAAATTGGTGCAGACACAGGAGGACAAACTTCAGCAGCTGTACAGAGAGAAGGTGACCCAACACTGCACATCTGTCTTCATTTCATTCTCACAAAACACTTTGAAAGGCTTACTTAGTCTGGTGCCAAGTAGAACAAATAAACTGAAAAGAATACACAGTTTATGCTCTGTTATATGATAGGACTAGCTTATGGCACATTGTTATGCACAACACTGAGAGAGAGACACAACAAAAGGATTGTGCATCTGTTGTAATGCATAACTATAGCCTAGCTACTGGCATCCACTTCAAAGAGTCGTTTGACCTGCAAAGGATTTCAGGGACTTTTTATATTGAGGAAATCGGACCTTATATTGTCAGCAGACTTTTTGAACTGCATACAAAGATATATAATGATCATACTGCTGATACAATGAATGAATAAAGTGTGAAATCTAGCATGAAACATAGTCTATTTGGACTTATGCAAGAACCTATTTTGTTACAACTACAGCATCCCAACCATGCAGATCACGAAACGTAACTTTCAGGATTTAATTAAGATTGCAAATGTCAGGTTAAAAAAAGTGGTAATAGAAAGGGAAACATTTCAAAAGAACAATCAACAGTTTTAACAATAAAGAAAATAAATGACTTGCAGCCATTATTTTTTATGTATTACCTTTGCAAGATGTATAAGAGCTAAAAACACTGTGTGTGTGTGTGTGTGTGTGTGTGTGTGTGTGTGTGTGTGTGTGTGTGTGTGTGTGTGTGTGTGTGTGTGTGTCTTCAGCACACCCTGGAGACTGCACTGCTCTCAGCCAGCCAGGAGATAGAGATGGGCACTGAGAACCCGTCCGGCCTGCAGAGCGTCATCCAGCAGAGAGACCTACTGCAGAGCGGCCTGCTCAGCACCTGCAGAGAGCTCTCCAGAATCACAGCAGTGAGTCATGACGTTCACACACACTCAGGCTCTTCCTTTAGGAGTGCTTGAAAGACTGGAGGTTGTTTTGTGGATATTGTCATTCACAAAGTGTATCTCTCCAGGAGTTGGAGCGGTCGTGGAGGGATAATGATAAGATGGAAGCAGATGTGACTCTGGCTAACAACAACCTCCTGGAGCAGCTTGAAGCACTGGGAAGCCCTCAGGTAGGTTCATTCTTGAGACTGAAGCTCTGCTTGTGCTGTCTCACACAGTCATGATTTCATAGTCACACTTTGGTTGGAGTACATATTCAGCGAAAGCTTCAAAGAAATCTGAAAATGTGGCAGATTCCCTTGAACACGCTGTCATCGTTTTTGTCAACACTTTCTTTGACTTTGGGGAAAAAAGTAGATTTCTATGCTCCATAGCCCTTAGCTGCTGTGCGGTGGGAGGTATCGGAGAGATCAAAGCTCCACAGTGAGTGATTGATGACTGAAGCGATGATAGAGCGGCTCCTAACTAATTCTGTCTGTTATCTTATCCTTCATCATGGGAGAAGTGTAGAGACAGAGAAAAACAGTTATTCCTGTTTGAGCCTGAGTCAGAGCCGATGCTACAGTCACTCAGTGTATAGAAGTCAGAGAGACATCCTCATCCTCAGTGCCCTTCACGCTCAGACAAACCTGTCATCAGCAAGCAGAACATAATCACACATCTCTTTCCCTGTGACTGTCCAGAAAATCTAATGTAATCATCTGGTTTAATCAGGCGATTCGTGAACATGTGTGTGTTTCCTGTGCGCACCCAGACGGAGCCTCCCAGCCAGCAGCATGTGAGCATCCAGAAAGAGCTGTGGAGGATACAAGATGTGATGGAGGCCCTCAGCAAAAATAGAGCTCAGAGAAATGCTGAGGGTATGAACTTGTACGGGTCCAATAACAACTTCAGCAAGCACAAAAATGAGGTGAGCCAACATTAACAGACGATATTCATGTTCATACAGTCATTGAGCACTGAAGCAATAAGGGATTTCATAATGTTGAGGATAATTTACCCGTGTATGTCATTTAAAAGTCAAAATGGAAAATATTCTCTTGTTCCAGTCTCTCAAATGTGACCATTTTCTCTTTTTTGTATGATTGTAATCTGAATAACTTGGGGTTTTGAACTGTTTGTCTCACAAGACGCCAACATAAGGGAATTCTTGCTATTTTCCAACATGTTATTGACCAGACACCAAATCTATTAAATGAGGAAAATAGAATAAATCCTAAAACTAATCTGAAGTTACAGCCCTTCAGCTCGCTTTACCCTGATCTGCTGTAGTTGTGTTGCTGATGACCAATTTAAGATGAGTCCTCAAACTGCCAGCCCGGCTCATGGCAGTCTGAGTGCTGGTATCTGATTGGATGTGTCAGTCACGCGGCAGCAGCATCTCTCCGGCGTATCATCTGTTTTGCCCGCCCCCCTGGGCCAGAACCGCTCAGCACCAGATGCTGGTTGCCCTGAGCCGTGCGTGGTGGCGCCATGTGTCACATCTCCCTGTCCTGTCATGCCATGTATAATCCCCCAGGAGGAGGACTCGGTGCCCCCACGGCCACCCCTACCCCAGTCCTATGAGCCCAAACCCCCCAACATGCCCTCTCATACTGGTGTGCGTCCTTCAACCCTGCACCGGCCGGAGGACAGGAAGGCCAATCACAGGAATGGCACGCACAGCGTAAGCTTGGTGACCTTTGATTGACCCCGCCCTCTTCCATGTCATCACACGTCGCTGCTCGCTGTGATGGTTCCTCTTTCATTTTGACAGACACCTCATGGTTTTTGAGTTTCTTTTGGTTGTATCATACCCCCTTTTTTTCCCTTGACGCCATACCTCCATCATCCTCTTTTTTCAGTTAACAGGATGAAGCCTTACTCATGTGTCTTTTATTTATTTATTTCAATTGAGTTGCCTTCTTGTCTTCCTTTTCTGTGTGTCTGAGTTGAAAAGTAGTGATTTTTTGTGTTCTCTCCTTTGTTGCAAACTGGGCCATGTCTGACTGCTGCCTCCCTTTTTCTTTTGGCTGTAAAATGATGTGTGTTTTCTTCAAGTTCAAGCTGTCAACATTTTATTCGTCTAGATGGCCCAGTCTGTAAAAACACATCCTTTTGTACAAAAGGATGTGTTTTTTCCGCAGCCTTTGAAATCATTCTGCAATAGAAAATGTTTTATAGATCACTTTGGAATCAAATTTGAAGTCACTGCGTTTTGAACTTGGTCTTTCTTTCCCGATGGCAGGGCCCGGACTACAGGCTGTATAAAAGTGAACCTGAACTCACCACAGTGGCGGAGGTGGATGAGAGCAATGGAGAGGACCGATCTGAGCACGCTGATAGAGAACATTCTGGAAACAAAGGTACATTCTGCCAAGTACTATGACGCAAAATACTGATAATTGCAGTTTTCTATAAAATTATAAATTGTATTTACATTAACAAAATCTCAATTAGCCGATTAAATGATTACTGTGTGACCTCATAAACTTGTTTTTTAGCACTGATGGTTACCATGGTATTCACTCAGGCATCTGACACAGAGTATAAATACAATATCAGCCTTCTCCAAAGCATTAGGCTTGGCCAGGACATCACAAAGTAAATCTCATGGCAACCCTAACTTGGCGTGCAGGGGTTACCGTAGATACAGTGGCATTTACACAGAGCTAGCCATTTGTCTGGATCTATGTACACGGTGTAAATCCAAAATACTGCTCAGGTTTGAATATCAGTGCTGGGATCATTGACTTATTACAATATAAGTCGACTTTGTTGAAACCTCAGAGTACTTAATATTTTCTGTGAAAGGGGGTTAAAACAGCTGACACAGCGTAATGCAGGAGTTCTGAAGTTGAATGATTACACTGTAGCTCTTCTCTTGTTCCACACGGACACACAATCAATATTAGCAACCTACCGATGCTGCAAATGCCGCGGGAAATTCTGTAATTGTGAGGAGACCGTACTGAAGGCCAGATTTGACTTCACAGGGTTAAGCGTGGAAGGTCCTTGAAGTTTTGGGTCCTTGAGAAGTCTTGATTTTGATGTTTAAGAAAATGTGGGAACCCTGATACTGCTTTTTTCACGTTATTCAAACTCAGTTTTTACATTAACATTATTTTACCTAAACTACCATACTCATCAAAAAAGCACTGTGTTATGATGAGCAAATGCTTTCTCGTTGAACCATTCTGATCACTGACTTTACCTGCTAGGGATGTCCTACCCAGTGGGAATCGTCCCACCCAGGACCAGATCTCCGGTGACTGAATCTTCTTCAATACATTCATATGTCACCTTAAGGAAGAGCAAGAGGCCTGACCCCAGGACGGTGAGTCTGATAGAAAGTGTACATTGTTTTTAAGAACGTTTTTAAACTTTGTACACATCGCTGACACATATTGAAGTCTGTTGTTTGTAACTTAACTTTCGAATCTAAAAAGGGCTAAACTGTCTAGCACTTGTTTCCTAAATGAAAAACCATCTGTCTTTAACTAGTAGAGAAGCAGTAATTATTGATGTTTGCCCTTGTTTTCTTGTCTTGTTATGTTATCATTGTAAGCTGCAAACTGGCCTCCACTTAAAATGAAATTACTCCCCTCCTAATTGGTTGTTTTGGTTATTAAACTCTTGGTTGAAAGTTAGCATGTGGCTGAATACGCCGCTCATCACGTGACCATGGTGTGACTCATGTCCCTAAAACCAGCCGCTCATGAAATGGATGCCAAGCTTGGTTTATAAAGTTTCCAGCCTCAAACACTATCAACCTAAATATACTTCCCATGTCATTACTGCACCACACTGCAGGGTGTGTCCTCTTTTTAGAGCGTCTGTATGTGTTTGGAAATATTGTGGATGGACGTATAGTATAAATGAACCTATAAGAAGTGTGTAGAATGTCAGCTGCGCACACATACAATACTGAAGTCATAACTGCAGGCCATATAGCTTGCAGTTGAAAGGGAGTGTGTCACAGGCCTTCACAGTCCACTTGGATAGGAGCCTCTTGAACAATCTGGGCAGTGGAGGCTGCGTCCCCGGGCTCTGGACTGAATCCAGATCAGCCAGAGCCTCCAGCATGGCACAAACCTGAGAGTGAACAGCTTCTCTTCACTTCACTAACCATCATCAGCCTCTTCTACTCAGGCATTAACAGCCCCCCCCCAGCCTCTCTCAGTGCACCCGTGTGTGCCAGCAGGAGTGTGTGTGTGTGTGTGTGTTCACAGTAGCCAGCCAGTTTCTAACAGAGTGAACATTAAAGAGCCATTAGCTCAATATTGACTTCTTGTTTAAAGAAGCAACATGTTTGTTCTCTTCTATTGACTGAGAAATTGCAATTACTCATATTCAAACTGTTTTCAACAATACTTTGTATGCACTGCAGAAGCATTATGAGATCCGACCCGACCGCAGTATGACGCTACTTAGCTACACACCCAAACTGTGGCTTTGCGTAAAAAATCCCCTAATTGTCTCTAAGCATGCTCCAGTGTTATTAACTTCTATTTATTGTGTTGTTTGTGTCCCTCTGTGGTGTGCATGTGTGTATGGTTGTCCCCTCTGGCTAACAGGAGCGTCCTCACAGCGCGTTGGAGCAGCAGCTGTCAGCAGGGGAGAGCGGCCGGCCCAGGATGAGCGTGGAGGAGCAGCTGGAGAGGATCCGCCGCCACCAGCAGGGGACCCTCCGGGGGAAAAAGAAAGGCCACCACATCAGGGGGGGCAGCCAGGAGCCCACTCGCAGTCACTCTTTCACTAAAGAGAACCATTCTCGCAGCACGCAGGTATAGGAAGACTTCTGCACCTGCACAAGTTCAGAGTATATCAAATGCTGAAATCAGGTGACTCAATCCCTCTGCATTTTTTTTCGCCGTCTCTTCCAGTCACAACAGAGGCGTAGAGAGGATGTGATGAGCTTTGACATCGAGGCGCTGGAGGCCTCCATGAGGCAGCAGGAGCTGGTGCTGGAGCAGGAGACCCCGGCCGAGGAGATCGCCCGTCTCAAAGAAGCCTCGCAGGCGGACCACTTAAATATGGACCGGGAGGTGAGGCACAGCAGTTGGCTGTCTTACTCATCGAGAGGAAGTGGCAAACCCTGCAGGCAGGATATCTCTCAAAAGGGATATGCAGAACACTATATCTTTCATATGCTGCCTATATGTCACACACTTGGTATTCAGGTGTTTCTTGGTGCATGCCCTTTCTCCTGATTACATCAATAAACTCCTTACAGCTTGTTCCTATCTGATGTCTGCATGCAGCAGAATGTCTTGCATTAAGCATTACTTGCTCTAAGACAAAGCCTTCGGTGATGCTCCATTTTGTTATTCGACATCCAAAATGTGGAGCCGCCTCCTCCTCTGTACTGATACTGACGAGCATCTGATATTTGTATAGTCATGTCATTTTCTGATCGGCATTCATTCGTCTGAGGTGTGTTGTATGAATTGTTCTCTGTGTTGTGTTCCTCCAGCTTTCAGTGCCTGACAAAGTGCTGATTCCTGAGCGCTATGTGGAGTCAGACCCCGAGGAGCCTCTGAGCCCGGAGCAGGAGGCTGATAAGCAGAGGAAAGTTGATCGCATCAAAGCCCTCATTGCCAAAAACAGGTAAAGCCATCATCATGATCTGTTTGAGCTGATAACTTTTTACAAGCAAGGACCGGGCCTCTCAGAGCTTCGATGTTAACAATATAACATGTTAAGGATATTCGGACAAAGGACTAGCTTTGCAGATGGGCACTGATATTTCCCAGCTGAGGTCAGGCATGAAATCCCTTTTTAGAAGTGAGGGGTAAGTTTGCGGTCATATCGAGAACTCCCCATAGAGGGCTCAAAAGAGGCCATGATGCTCTTCCCATGCAGATCAGTGGCTTAGATTTTGGGAGAAAGCTCTGAGCCACAGTGACATTTTAATCTAAATGTCAGCCCTCTTGAATTGATTTAAAAGAGAGCGCCCTTCTGTCCTGGGGTAAGGGTGTTATTTCCCGAAACTATGTTAGTCAAAGCTGTAAACTGTCCGGCAGAGGCTCAGTCAGTAAGGGATTGGACTGGGAGCTGTAGGGTTGCCGGTTCAAGTCCCAGACCAGACCTCAAATATGAAGTGTGGACTGCTACTTGGAGAGGTCCCAGTTCACCTCCTGCCCTGCTGTGGTGCCTTTGAGCAAGGCACCGGACACCCCCCTTCCCCCCTCACTACAATAGCTGCCCACTGCTCCTAGTACTAGACTCCTGGTACTAGGATGGTTTAAATGCAGAGAACACATGTCACTGTGTGTGCTGTGTGCTCTGCATGCGTGACCATTAAAGAGCGTTTCATCCCTCCTAATTCTGTGTGTGTGTGTGGGTGTGGGTGTGTGTGTGTGTGTGGGTGTGTGTTCCCAGTATGCAGAATGTGCTGCCTAGCTTGGCTCTGAGCCCCGAGGAGGAGACTGAAGTGGAGGTGACAGCGCAGGAGAAAGAGAAGATGATTAATATCTCCTACGAGCTGGCAGCAGAGGCCTCCAAACGCAGCAAGCTGGTAGCAGGTACATCTCGAGAGAGAATGTGGGGCGGGGGGGGGGGTTGATGAGAGTAATGCATGTGATGAAACAAAAGCAAGTGTCAGCCTGCTCGCAGAGATCACTACTTTTCATTGGGGATTATGAAACTGCAGCTGCTTCCATTGTGCATGGGTTCAGTCATTTATCACTGTATTATAAATAGCTCTTCATTGTTTGTTGTGTTTGGCCATTAAGCTACTGATGTTGTGTTGTCATTGTGTGTGTGCCTGCCTGTTCCACATGTTGCTCTGTTTCCTTGCAGTGAAAAGCCTGTCGCCCTCATCCCCATCCCTACCACAGTCTCCTAACACACCCCAACTCACTGATGGCTCTCACTTCATGTGTGTGTAGTGGCTCCAGTAAGGCCTTCATCAACCTGTTTTGTCCTTACTCACAAATCTAAAGTGTTCTCAGTGTTTCATTGTTGTTTTTGGGGAGCATGTCAGAATAATGGGATTGATGATTAATTGTAGGAACATAAAAGAGGGGGAACCGTTGTGATGTGTTTTTTATGTGTTCTGTGTTGTTGAAGAAAAATCCATTTGTCCTTAATTGATCCTGTGTACATCACTCAACTCGATGTATCCGTAAGGGCCTTGTTTTTTACATTTAACACCATTTCTTGTTATATAATGAGACTCAAATGACTGCATATACAATCAGTGGCCACTTAACAACCCAATCCAATTTAAAGCACAGCTCAGCTATAAATTCTACCTTTTAACTTTATAATGAGCAATTTCTGGTGAAGATTGGAATGTCTGGATTCAATTATGTCTAGTGCTGGCAAGGATATTAGAAAAACATCTCATTATAACGCATTCTGGTACTAATTATAACCGCAGTGTGTAAATATATAACTCAATTAACACCTTACGGCAATGCCAACAAAAACTCAACTTTATAGGCATAATAGATTAGAATCAGAGTCAGAATACTTTCTATATCCCATGGGCAAATAAGGTTTGCTCCTTTTTTGAAAATAAATTATTTAAACAAAAATATGAAGTTAAAGTCAAAATGTGTCAAAAGAAAATTAGAATACAAATATTTATATCAATGTAAGAAGTTAAGTAGAAATGTGCACATTGTACTTATATAACAATAATAAATGTGTAAAAGGTGTATTTCACAATATATACAGTGGTGTAGTATTAGTAAAGATATTAGTGAAGAAAACCAGATTATTGCTTGAAATGTAGAGTAGGGCTGTGCAATTAATCGTATTTGAATCTCGATTACAATTTTAGCTTGCAACGATTACGAAAACAACGTAATCGAAATAAAACGATTATTATTATTTATTTGTGTTTTCAGTATCTAGTGTTGAATTTTGGGCATAATATGACCTTTTCCCTTATTTAAAATGTCCCCTTCTCTATCTGCAGCACAGGCCCTGGCCTCAGTAAGAACATACACATGAAGGAAACAGCAGTGGAGGTGTAACAGGTTCCTGAAGACTTCCCCATCAGCACAAGGCCCCAGCCTGCAGAGAGAGAAACTGCCCACTCTGGACTTCTGTATGCTCACTGTGACGTCTCAAGCCACCAACAACATTTTCTCTGTGACATTTTCTTTTTTGGGCGCCAGCTTTGATTCTGTTCTTGTTGCAGTTCCATTATCAGTTTTTACAATGCTTTTACGCTCGTTCTTATTATTTATATGGTTTTATTAGGTTCTTGTTTGGAAAGGGCCATCGTCTGTCTGTGTATATATGAGGCTAACGGACTGAAGGCCTGTAAAAAAAGTGTTTAGGCCACATTTTTCATTCATGTTTCACCACCTGTCCTACAAGGTTTCAAAAACACATCATTTTTAGCTCATTTCCATCTTTTATAAGTCACGCAGTTTGTTTTGCAAACATCGGTAATTACCCAACCATCCATATTTATCCGTTTATTGTAAAGAACATTTGTTGATACTAAAGATGACTTTATAAGAGATGTAGATCCCTCCATTATAATATACGGAGGAGCCACTTTATTGCTACAGACAAAGATTCATTGTAGTTTTCCTGTTTCTGGGTTGTAATTATTTAAAAAGGGATCTTCTGCAGTCCCTGTCGCGTTGTTGCCGACGAGTATGTGAATGTTTAAGTCACTCTATACTGTCTTTTTTTATTGCTGAGAGATATATTTAAACTGAGAGAAGGAAATAAGAGTTTGGTTCTATTTTATGACATGTTGGTTTGAAGTCTTGGAACTAAAAAAAAAGATTAGCACATCTGAAAAGCAATAAAAAGAAAACGTTTGTGGATCGAGGATTTCTTTTTGTGTGTGTGTACAAAGTGTAATTATCAGAGGTTCACTATGTATATAATGTACATGGTATAGCAGGATGGAAAGATGTATCCAACATATGGTTACGGACTAGATTTGATTTGAAAATGTTCATACTCCATCTGTTTTATATCATGTTAAATAAATGTTGCTGTTCTTAACAAGCGGTTGCATTTTGTTATTTACCACACCTGCAGTGGACAAGCTGAGAATAAAGCTACTATGAGAATGACTATCATATTACATTTAAAAATCCTGAGAACAGAGTCATGTAAAGTTAGTCTTTTTCAGCTTTGTCTTTTAACATAACTCTTGATTTGCTCACAACAGGAGTACATTAATGTAGAAATTATAACAAATGTATCCTATATTCAAGTTACAAGGTCTCTGTTATTACCAGAATGTTATGCTCTAATAGATTAAGAACTGAAATAATCAGCTTACTCACAAATAATTAATTGGTCATTTGTGGGGTACATTAAGAGGAGAAAGCGACATGATTCAGTCTACCTTGAGGTCCTTAGTATGAATGACAGCCATCTTAAATATAGAACTGTGGCTCCCTCTTGTGGTCAAAATTAGATATTGTCAAAGTTAGGTACTATAGTTTATTTCATTTCATTTCAAACCTTTATTTATCCAGGTTTATCCCATTGAGATCATTGATCTCTTTTTCAAGGGAGACCTGCTATCTATGGTTATACTGTATTTTACAGTAACTCTTGGAGACCTTATCTTTCCCAGTGCCCAAGTTGGATGAGTAAAGTTTGTTTGAAAAAAACAAACTTAAACATAACCTTTGTTCCTGAAATGAAGAGCATTAGTAGCCTTTAATTATTACCAGCAAATAAAGTCATCCGAGAAGGCTTTACTATAGCACAGCAGATGCTCCGAGTCCTCAGAGAAAATAAATTAGTCTTTATTGTAAGTAGATGTACTCTTGGGGTGGTTGACATAAAAATCAGTCGTATAAGCAATAATTGCAGCATAACAATTAAAGGCAAAGGTTAATATTTGGTTTGCAGGGACAAACGGTATTATTCATACAACATGTGTTTGTCTGAGGGTGATGTTTGGTGTCTGATTTGATACAAAACAAAATCAAATGTGCATTATTTCTAAATAATGCTCTCTTGGCCTTAATTGGTAAACGTTTGCTGTATTAAACATGGACTTCCATATTTAAAACCCCGCTGTGTGGTTTTGGAAACACATGGAAAGTTTAAATACCATCGCCAGCTTCACCTCCTCGTGACGCCTCTGACCAATCAGAGAGCAGACAGCGTGTTTGACCCCGCCCTTCTTCTGCAGAGGAGCGTTTCTGGGCGCCACGGGTGAATTTTAATACTGAAAGTGTCACACGGCACGTACGCCGCCGAAATGTCTGCTGCGGCCCCAGAAGAAACACCCGAGCTGAGTGTTGAGAGCGATGCACCGCCCGGGGAGACACAAGGCAACGGCGAGGAGACAGAAAATGGCCTTACCGAGCCGGATAAAGAGGATCCGCGCAGTAGCGTAGAACCGAAAATGGAAGGGGTGGAGGCGGAGGCCAGGGAAGAGAAGCCCGCTGCAGAGAGACAGGAGGCAGGCGAAGAGAAGCTCGCTGCAGAGAGACAGGAGGCCGAGGCCGAGACCGAGGCCGAGGCGGTGACAGCCTACAGTGTTGAGGTGAACCAGGGGGAGACAGCAGTAGAAGAACCGGAGCTAAAGCCAGAGGAAAAACCAGAGGAAAAACCAGAGGAAAATCCAGAGGAAAAGCCAGAGGTAAAGCCAGAGGTAAAGCAAAGCGCGGAGGATGGTAACAACATACCTGCTGCCAACGATAACGCAATAAAAGACGCAAAGGAGCAACCGGGACAGGTAAACTGCGAAAAGAGCAAAGCAGCTTGTGAAGACGGGGAGAAGCCCGGCGGCGGGGGCGGGGAGCTGGACGACAAGAGGCGGCCGAGTGTGGAGATCTCATCCTCGGATGGAGAACCGCTGAGCCGCATAGACTCGGAGGACAGGTTGGTGTGAGACACTTCGGGTTTTCTTGACCAGTGTTTGGTGTAATTGGGTTAGAGTAGCATGGATAGTTTTCCTTTATCCACGTTTTTAAATGAGGAAAAAAATGGCTTATTAGAGAATTTGTAGTTAATAGGTCAAACGATGAACACAATGTTGGCTACTCAACTATGATACGAGCGAAAACGGCAATTTAATCACACCCATCAATCATTTTCATAATTATTCGAGCATGGTATTAACTATGCATATAAGATAATATTTTTCGTTTCAAATATTCAATTTTCAGTTTATGCTGGTGGATTTGTGTGAACTGCATATTGGATTGGTTTAAAAATAGTTAAGGTCAAACACCCAAGGAAAAGTGACTGATGTATTGAAAAGTAACTCCACTGATTCCATTAGTAAAACTGCTGCCAAAACTGGGATCAGTAAGGCCTACTGTTTGGATTTGTGATGAGTAAATTATGAGCCCTTTTGTGGTGTTGAAACTCCAGTAAATGAGTAATTTCGTGGTAAACGCATGAAATCCAGCGATGTAATTGATTTGGCATAAGTGATGAAGCGGTGGCATGCATGGAAAATCTGATTCAGCTTGATGGCTTTCACGCATAGTGGCTATTTAATTTTGGCTTGCACCTGTTCTCCACTGCTGTGCAAAGCCTGATCTAAGCTATGAAGATGTTCTTGATGTCCTTAGCACCATGTTTAAAGGTCCCCTTTTATACTGTTTTTCATCAATTTATTATAGGTCTCAGATACATACAAAACATGTCTCTGAAGTGTTTGGCTCGAAATACCAAACAGATTGTTGGAGCATCCCATAAACCCCTCTGTTTCAGCCCTGTTTCAAAAGAGCTGATTCTCTGTCTTTTACTTTAGAGAGAGATTACTCGGAGAGATATTTGGTTAAAAAGAACACTGGTGCTCTAGGAGGAGATTCAGGTGATAAGGTGTGTGTGTGTGGGGGGGGTTACCTTGGTTGGTTATTGGCTAATGGTTACACAAGCCAAAAAATCGTTATGACATCATAAAGTGGCCAAAATCTGATCAGCTCACTTCAGACAGGTTTTTATATAAATGGATCAGGACAAAAAAGAGCAAATCTTTTTTCCTGAAACGTTCAGAATCTCTTTACACAGAGGGGACACATGCTTAGACATGAACAAGTGGATTTTGCATAATAGTGACCTTTAACACAAGTTGGACTCTATTCTTCCTTCTCCTTCCTCTCCACACTCTCTCCTCTCCTTCAGTATCAGCAGCACCCTGATGGAGATGGAGAGCACGGTGTCCAGTGGGCGCTCCACACCTGCCATGATGAACGGACAGAGCAGTGCCAGCTCCTCGGGGGTGAAGACAGTGGGGTACCCCTGCTGCTGGGACCTCTGTTCTCAGTGCTTCAACTCAAGTCCTGACCTGGCAGAACACATCAGGGCCATTCATGTCGACGGGCAGCGAGGAGGGGTCAGTATACTTTCAACTTTTGGACAGGCTTCGTGTTGATGTCCTTTATTGTGTCTGACAGGTAGCCAAAACAAGATTAGGTCCCTTTTTTTCAGCCTAACATTAACTGTTGAAATGCTTAAGACAGTTTAATGATTTGATTAAATTGGACTACATGCAACCATTGAGTTCATATGTCTGTAGGCATGGGAACTACTTCCTGTGGAAGAATTATTCCTTTTTAAGAACTGTTCCCGGTGTGCATTATGTATATAATTTAAGAAATATTTCAATCTCTTTCTGTGCAAGATACCTCCTTATGCTGTCTTGTCATCTTACAGTACCTCTGTATCTGTTGATTTGTATTTGTTGTCCCCCAGGTGTTTGTGTGTCTATGGAAGGGTTGTAAGGTGTACAACACACCATCCACCAGTCAGAGTTGGCTCCATAGACACATGTTGACTCACAGTGGGGATAAGCCTTTCAAGGTAAAGAAAAACAGTAAACCTTGCTATGATAATATGTTGTTATATTATATGAGTAAAATGTCTAATATCAACATCTATCTAAGCTATTATCTCTTGGAATAAAACCACATTGTACATTTTACATTTATATAATCTGTTCAATATTTAATATTCCATCTGTATTTATATTTATGTGTATATATATATATATATAATACCTTGTATATGTTCTACTTTCTTGTTTATTTCTTTGAATTTTTATTGTACAATGTCTTTTTATGCTGCTGCAACGCAAACATTTCCCAAATTGGGATCAATAAAGTACTTCTTATCTTATCTTATCTTAGTTGTATCACAAATACATTGTGGTGGCCAATCATTTAACCAGCGATCAGACCTGTCAGTCCATGTGGGGCCATGAGAGAGTAACAGCTCCAGCACAATGCACAGTCCCTTACTCATACCCGATATAGGTGCTGTCAATTTAAGCTGCTTTCAAATGTGGTTTGAAATATCAACCTTAAAAATTCCCTGTGATGAAAAACACACAATTTGAACATTAGAGGACTACTTTGGGGTTTTAGTTCACGTCAGGACGTCGCCAAAAAAGCTATTTGAGAGCCAGATTGATGGCATCTTTCAATAATACATCAAAGTACCTACAGTAGTACCAGCACTTGTTCTGCAACGCAATTGACTCAAATAAATGGTGTTATTCCTTTGTTTATAAAGTTGCCCTGTGAAGTGACAGATGTACCAATCATCCTCTGCCTCTGTGCTCTGCTGCAGTGTGTAGTCGGTGGCTGCAACGCCAGCTTTGCCTCCCAGGGGGGGCTAGCTCGTCACGTCCCGAGCCACTTCAGCCAGCAGAGCTCCTCCAAGATGTCCAGCCAGGCCAAACTCAAGGAGGAGTCCCCCTCCAAGGCTGGGCTCAACAAGAGGAAGAAACTCAAGAACAAACGCAGGTGCTCCCTACGTACGTACCTACCTAACACACACACACACTTACTGTTTTTTAAAAGTTTCTTACTTCCCTCTTTTCTTCATGGGAAAGGATTACAAGCTGAGTGCATTTTTGAGGCGCTGCCATGTTTGTTGTACATAATTGGCTTCTAACCTCCCACATCTCTTTTGTTGGAGAAGCTAGAGCTGGACACCAAGCAAGCGAACATACACTTGTAGCTGGACAGATCCCCCCAAGGGCAACTCTCCGCATTTCACAGAACAACTTTTAAATAGAATTGCACCGTTTCACTCTTTGTACGCGATGTGCTCAGGTAGAGAGTTATACTTACTCCCTGGTAACATGTTTTGCATCAGATGGCCTCTCTCTGCAGTATGCAAACCAAGGCATGTGTTATACTTCTACACTTACTGCACTAGTAATCTTAGTGCTAGATGATTTTAAAATACGAGTGACATGAAATCATCTACATTTGAATTTAAGACGAATAGCATTTTGCTGTGTTCATGAAAAGCAAAAACCATCTATTACCATAAATCCTAAACCTTATGTTAACAATTAAGAGACTGCACATTTTTTTAGCATATTTTAGAATATTAACACATTTGTTTATAGTTGGTGCAAACTGTTTCCCTGGGCATAACTTTTAGATTGAAAACCTCCTTGAACATTTAAGAACATAATCAGAGACTCAAAAGCTGCTTGAGGTTATCATCCATCCAAGTAAATGTCCTTGTTTTTCAATCCAGCTGAAACAGGGACCCTTTTAGACTCCTTAGTGTAGCATTCAAGGACACTCTTCACATCTCAGAGTTGATGGTTGAATGCCAAAAAGCATTTCATTCACATAAACCTGGTGAAGTTGTTTCACACTGCGGTGAATTGGCTGGAAACATGCTGGTAAACAGGGATGAGTCTGATGTTTGGAATACAAATGTATCCATCTAAAGGCAGTCCTTATATCAAGGGTTTGCCTAAACACTAGCCGTACATTTTCGAATCGAGTGTCAGTGAGATCCTGTGCAGAGACCCGGCCGGCTGTCATCAGTTTGTTTGGCTTAGGAAAGGTACAAACTGAGGGAAATGACCCAGAAGTATTTAAGTGGCAGCCTTAACAATAGCCGGTCTGAATAATATCTCTTTTAGCAGAGGATTCGCTGGACCATCCTTCACCAAAGAAAATATGAAAAAGCCATCCCGCAATTCCTTAATGTAGCAGTACGGCAATAAATGACATCTGCGCTTTAATTGTTTACAGATGGGAATCGTTACTTTAATCATACAGCATTGAGAAATAGAGTTGCTTTACATAAGCCTTCTGTAAGTGCAATCATATTCTTTCCACGACAGTTGTCTTTTTTACGACCTCCTCACACATTCTCCTTCACATCTTTCCCTGACTTCATGACGTTTTCCATCGTGGTTAAGATAACATGGATAGGAAAATACATGCGATGGGGTCATTTTTTAACTTGATGGGTCACTTTACAGAATCATAAAAGGATATACTGTTCAGAAAACAATAGAAGCAAAAGGCCTTACTAAATGATGATCCTATTTCTGCTAGCTTGGTTGTTTTTGCCCAAATAAAGTCAATGTATGAGACTGGCAAGAGTTTTCTGTTTTTAATGTTATACTTTTGGAATACATTTCTACAAAGTGCTTTGCATAGACCTCATTTTGACTTTAGTTGGTGCAAAGCAACAATGAAAAACCACAATGGAATAGCATTTTAAAGCAATTAGATGACTTTGACGTAGTTACGGGTTGTTATAGAAAGACTTGGAAAAGCCTTGGAATTCTTATGTATTGAACCACAGTTGGCGCCCTTTGTGTTTTTGTTGCCTGACTCAGCTCTCATCTGACCTCTCCTCCTCCAGCGAGGCCGCATGACTTCTTCGATGCCCAAACCATGGACGCTATCCGCCACAGGGCCATCTGTCTGAACCTCGCCACCCACATCGAGAGTGTGGGCAACGGCCACAGTGTGGTCTTCCACAGCACGGTGAGTCTGTGCAGCTTCATCACTTTCTGGTAGAGCTTTTTAATGTTCAAACGCAATGAGTAGGATATTCAGAGACAAGGGTTAAAGGAGGCATTGTCTTATCCTTTGGAGAAATGATCAGATGCATTCCTTTGTAGGTAAAAGGTGAAGTGTGCAACAGAAGTTCAATCAGTCCTAAGAAATGAACATTAAATTGAATGCTGATAGTCTTGTTTAGCTTTAATATGACATGCATTTAAACCGCTGAGATTTGTATGCCTCAAATCACCAAGGTCTTAATAATAATAATAATAATAATAGATTTATTTTGTTAGCGCTTTTACAGGTGCTCAAAGACGCTTTACAGATATAGTGAAAAGAAAATATCTTAACAGTTGATTTTTAATTGTACTTAAACTTTGAATTTTCTGCCTGGTTATTTACTTTGCACGGTCGTTTTCACATAAGTACACCTTTTTTGTTTTTTCAAAAAGTATTTTATTTAATGTCATTTTCTTTTTAGACAGCAGGGGGCGGGAGAGACTCACAATCTGAAAATCTCTTCCGTGCACTTGAAATGAACCTTGTGAATCGCCCAAAGGCTTAATGTTGTTTTTCTGTGAATCACACTTCACAGGAAACACAATTGCTTTGTTTTTGTGTAGGTTCTCTCTCCATTCTGAGCCCAGTGTGTGACACATTATTAATGAGCTACAAAAATGTGTTTGTACCTAAATAATATCATTTCAAGTGAAGCATTCAATCACTGAGAAGTAGATAATGATAATAATTGTTTGAGTAATAACATGTATGTAAAGTAAGGTTAAAGTAACAGCAGTATGGAAAATCCTTTTTTTTTTTTAAAGACTGCTTTTCTTGTGCCCTTCCACTAGAGAGCGCTGTGTCTCCTGTACAAGACCCCACATAGCACGAGGCTAAACAATGAAAGGGTCATCATCCTCGGTTTCTCAGCACATTTGTATTATTTGCTGTATGTATACTCTTATAGAAACGTACTCTTTAGTCATTTGCAGTGATTGTATGTACACTGGCTATCCTAGTACATAATGTGGTCTGTTTCTCGCTTTCTGCAGAGGAAATTAGGAATTTAGTATTTTTGTTTCCAGATGTCTGAACTCATAAATGATGTGCTTTGCCAATATAGCAAGGTCTTTTACAGGTATTATATATATTTATTATCATATTATTACATATATTAAAATATCACAATATGACTGATCTATTCAATAACACATAGTTTAACAAATCAAACGTGTAGAACAAGGATCTAAGAAACCTTCATACAGTAAAGGAATATATTGTAACATTCAATTGAACTGGTTGCAAGTGCAGTATAGTGATAATGATGATGTGTGTGTGTGTGTGTGTGTGTGTGTGTGTGTGTGTGTGTGTGTGTGTGTGTGTGTGTCCTGCGGGTTATACATGTCTCCAATGAATGCATGCATGCATGCACATTTTCATCATGCAAATAGATCGCCATGAAGCCATCTCGTGCATCTCTTTCCCTTTTTAAAAGATTTCCACTGTTAATAATTTAAGCATTTCTGAAATGTGCAGTGTTGAGCTTCTGTTTCTGTTCCCTTTCAACTGGATTCTGCTCTGCTCTGCTCCCTTTAAACCTCAACTGCTCACCAGCAGCCAAGAATTTTAAAAGAAAAGTAAAAAAAAAACTAAAAAAAGGGGAAGATAAAGCTTGGGAAGAGGTTAAGAGAGGTAAACCGCATATTTGGACACAGACTGAGAAGGAGGAAGAGCCAGCCAGGGGGAGGGAGAGAAACAAATGGCTAGAAACAGAGATTTGGAGAGAAGGGACGAGGAAAAGGGGGTTAAGTGGAGTTCAGGGTCATGGAATCGGAAGGAGATCTGGCCAGTTAGGCATACATTCTCCTCTCACTCGTCCCTGGAGGGTTGTGGTGCAGAAGGACTGCGGCGCTGCGTCAGACCCCGGGCCCCAGCGGACCCTCCCAGGCCCGGGGAGAGGGAGCGTAGCTGTGGGGGCTCTGTGGAGTTTAGCCAGTGGTCCTGCTGACACTCCAGAGTAGCTCAGTCATGTTTATGATGGGATATTTTTGTTACTGCGCCAATCTGCGTCATCCACAGCTTGACCCCCTGACACTAGACAGGCACCCAGTTTCAGCAGGCCCTCCCTCCCCCTGCTTTGGTCTGCACTGCCTTGTTTAGCGGCCACGTTAATATCCACAGTTCACTCCCTCCTGCTCTCTCCTACCTCCCTCTCATGCGTCTATAGAGGATTAAGTTCGGTCTCTTAAAGCACCAACTGCCCTCATCAAAACACTCGGCTCACACTTCATGCTGCTTAAACACAAGCACTTCTTCATCTTCAGCCTTTACACACATGGTCATGGCTTATTCAAGTGTAGCCTATGTTTGTGATTATTAACCCGGTGTTGTGAGGAGCCCGAGGGCGCAGGTTAACAGCTAGGCTTTTTTTTAAAAAAAGGGCAGTGAAACAGTTGCTGGTGAGTCTAAGCTGAGTAGGGCCGATAGGAGCACAGGCCCTGCTGTTGAGGCAGAGTTGTCTCTCCTCCCTTGTGTGTTTCTATGGTGGATCAGCACAGCCAAGCCTTGGTGGGAAGCTAGAAGATGGAGGCATATACATGAAAACAAAATGCAATGACAAAGTTAATTTACGAGGCGAGTTGTGCTCATGCTGGGAAGCAGTTTCTGCAACGTCTAAAGATTTATTTGGAAATGTCTGTAAACAAAGGATAACAATGTTTTGATTGGCAGATTAACAAACTGCAGTCAAGATATATTATTTGTATTGCTTTATCTGACAGTAGAAAGTGACAGATACGTTTTTTTTGTTAATGAAAATAAATAAATGAACAAAGTCCGTTACGTTCCCTGAAAATCCAGTGGATGTGGGGAGGTACAATACAATTTAAAATGATCAAGGAAGTCTGAAGTATAAGCAAAGGTTAGGACATTTATTAACAACTCAAATATATTTCACAACCAAAAACAGACCTCTTAACGAAAGCCAAAACTTAAAGGGAAATTGCCTAACTCAAATCAAAAGCTATCACACAAGCTCTGCTGCAGGATGATATATGAGAGAGAGAGAACTATTTTGCTGCTTCGCATGGTTTAATCAGCCCAAGAGTCTTGGGAAAGTACTGCAAACCTAGCGATTTGCACCATTTATGTAAGTGAATGCAAAATTATTCTTAATATGAATGGACTGAACATAATTATAATGCATAATGAACTATACAATTTGAAGTTAAAGTGGCTTTTTGGAATTCAAACATTGGGAAAGCTAATCAGAAACCAGATTTCCTGTATACATGGCAGAGAAATTGTAGTCCATGGGGAACACATTCAGGTTTTCTTAATCGCCCTAACTGATCAAAGGAAGACTTTAAATTGATGTTTAAGAAATCTGGTTACTGCAGAAAACTGACTGACCTGGTTGAATTGTTGTATGTGAACTCACTGATGGAGGACTTTGACTTTGCATCTAACCAATGACATCAAACTGCCCATTGCACCTGTCCAACAGGACGTCAATGTCGACTTCATTGACACTTACAGGGAAACAGATGGAGAACACACATTTTGCCTACAAAGTCAGACCTTATTGAACACATTTTATTTTTGTAGGGAAGGGTTTAGATTACACGTCAACAGTACTTTTGTTAAAGTGTGAGCTGCTCAAGTCATTGTTTTGTTTAATCACTGGTTCTGTTGGCACCGCTGCTGTGATGCCTACTTGTTCCCTTTTCCACTCTGAAGATGTTTACGCTTGAATACTGCATAAACAGACAAGAGGCAACAACAGTGTTGATGTGCCAACTTGGCTATCTAAAAAAACTTCTCACAGACAAATATTGATGCACAAATCCAACAACACAATTCATATCTGCTAACAGCCTTAAAGTGCACATATGCTATTTTAAGGCATATATTATGGGTGTCAGACATATATAAAAACATCTCTCTGATGTGTTTTGCTCAAAATACAAACCGATCTAGACATCCCTCATATCCCTCTATTCCAGCCCTGTTAGAGAAATTTGGATTTTGGGTCCTTAGGTTGAAAAAAGAAAAAGAGGAGGCGGAGCTAATGCCTGATCAGAATTCTACCGGAGATAAAGTTACATTCTGCTGCGATAAAACGCCATCCTGTTCTAAACCACATCAAGGATTATTTCTGAAACGGTATGGAGCTCAAATGCTTTTTCTCTTGCGGCTTTATCACAAGGCGAGTTCCTTTTTTTTTATGTCCTACTTTTTAAACACATGTGCTCACCAGTACAGGTTAGCTCTGAGTGTTAGCGAGGCTAGCTAATGTAAACAAAAACGAGATTACGTCCAAAACACGTCAGGCATTGTTTCTGATAGCAACTGTCTGTGGGTCGTCCACCATACGAAGTTGCGTAATATCGGCAGCAAATCTGTATCCGCTCGTTGTAGGCCTACCCTCGTTTTTTAAAGATTTTGGTAGGCCTACGGAGGAAAAGAGAAAGGGTTTTATTTGCTGACACTGCGTGAGTTCCCCGACACACCGGGGACACATATTTATGTATAAAATACATCAAAAAGTGCATTTTGCATGATAGGTCCCCTTTTAATATTTCTTCCAAAAAGTCCATCAAAATGTAGCTAAACTTGTTTATACCAGATTGCTTTATATCTGGATAGATCTGCACATGTATTCTTGCGCCTCCAGTAGGCTACACACAGCAACATGGCCAGAGGGTAGTTTCTAACAGTAGTGTAGAAAAAGTTCCTGGAAGAAACAAATAATATATATGTTTGTGCTTTGTGCTAGGCAGAAGACAATAACTTGGACCTTAAAATAACAAAGGCCAAAATGGTCTGACCATAAGGATACATAAAATGAATTAAGGATCCAAAATCCTCAAATGAATTCACATTTTTGCTCTTAAATCAGAGGGCAAGAGAAACTTTGAGAGATACGGAGGAGAGTGATTCTAGGTCTCTGCCTGTGTCTCTTGTCTCAGTGGAGTCTCTCCCTCCTGTCCTCAAACCAGTTTCCATCAAAGCCTCAGCCGGTCCCTCGAGTCACAGAAATAATTTCAGATATTCATGTGCGTAAGCGGAGTTCTTCACATGTGAGCTCATTCCCTTTTCCTAAAATAGACATTCCTAAGACAAAAAAAAAGCCAATTGACGCAAGAGGTTATATCTCTGGCTATTTTTGACACTCCTGGTTATTTTTCTAGCTCTACTTTCCCCTACTGACAATATTTGTGTGAATACCAGACCAGTTTTACTATAAACCAACACAGCATGATAGATGAAATGTTATGGGTGTTATGAGAGGGGCCAACTATTCAGGAAACATAGTATCTTTTCAACTGTATTTTCATAGCAAGAAAGGCTCTAAAGTGTGCATTTTTTCCAGATTAAATATTTAGAAGTTCAACCAGGTGGCAAAACACGGATAAAAGAAGCACATCTTGCCATGTTCCTGCAGAAAACATTCGAAAGAAGTGTCGCACTGCTGTCTAAAGTGTTGAAATGCTGGTGCTGACACAATCCACAACAACAGTGACTTGTTTATGGCGATAACTGCTTTGTGTGTAGCCCATGTCTATCTATTTGGCACTCGAGAATGTCAGCTCTGATAAGCCGTTCTCAGTTAAGTCCAGATACCGGGGAGATATCTAAGTTTAGTCTGGTTTTGAATTCCTTGCTCTTACAGCATGTTGCAGAGGAATTTGGGATAGATCCCATTGAAAATAGAAATCTCACTGAGCTCTTGCATACATAATTAAGAGTGCTAACATTTCTTATTAGGGTAATGATCAGCCAGTGTATCACTTGGTGAAATTTTGAAGCATGTAGCCTCATTATACATCGGAGAGATGGGGCCAGGACAGGGGCATGTCTTTGAAGCCTGTTCTCTACAGACAAGAGAGTGCTGCAATAGGAGCCAAATGCAACACATTTACACATTTGACGCTTGTAAAACCACTGTTAGCGGTCTAAAAATTAACCATAGTATCTAGGTTAATTATATACCTCTGTCTATTTGTGGTGGGGCTCAATTGGTGAAGGTCTTACTGGTTACTTGGCAAACTAACTGAGTAACTTACTACCTATCTAAGCACTTATTGTGTTTTTTTTATTACTCATCTTGTGTTTGTTTTTTTGTGTTCTCTGTGCAGGTACTAGCCAGAAGGAAAGAGGGATCTGGCAAGGTGAAGGTCCTCCTGCATTGGACACCTGAGGACATGTAAGTAAAACGTCCCCTGCATTAACCATAGATATCTATACAATTGACCTCAGCTAGCATTTCAAAAAAAAAATTCAGGTTAGTGTTCACAATCAAATGCTGATGTTTTTAATTAGTTTATCATTATTACTTTGAGGTGCCAAAAGACAAGAATTTGGAGAGTGTATTGAATATCCCTGTTGCTGTTGTTGTGGGTTGTAGCTTTATCCATGTAGGGGAACTGCTTAAGGTACATTTGAAGTACTGCTTAGTATATAGAGGTCATGGGTTTGTATGCAGGCCAGCTATAAACAGTTTGAGAGATTTGTAGATAACCTTTAAAATGTCACGGATCTACAAGCAGGCAACTCACCATCACATTTAGAAATCTCCTGCACATGCTTACCATGTAAAGCCTGTGCCTGTCACACAATCATTTCCTTCTTGAGCAGCACGGTCCCTGCGTGTGCACGTGAACATCAACAATGTACATGTATCTCTGTCTGATTTACGACTCTCCTTTCCATCCCGTTGTGAAAACAACATGGTGGCCTTCCTCCACAGCAGGGCTTGCTATAAATCCTCTCACCCTTCCTCTGTTGGCTGATCCAATATTTGTTGTGCTGAGTGAAAGGATTCTAGGTCCTGTTATAGTGCACATCACACCCCAGCTTGAGGCCCTAGGGCTTACCTCAGAGGAAGCTGAGGGCAATACTGATGATGATCCGCCAACATCTTCTCTCTGCGTTATGATATCCATGTTCATATTTTCAGAAGACTGTACCATTAAAGTCGGTCTCTGTCCTTCTCCGGTGTGGCACTGGTTCTTCACCATCTGCTTTGCTTCGTCTTACTCGCATGATCCACTGAAATGTCTTTATAAACGGTGGTGCAGCAACCAAAATTACTTGGAGGTTGAATTTGTTCTTTTTTTAGGCTCTCCAATCCATATTTTTCTTTAAATCCCAGTTTTAGTAATTAATGCCAATCCCAGTATTTGGCTGTAACGCCTGGACCTCTCACCAGGCTCTGCCAACTTGAGGTGGACATTGGCCGCACTTTCAGTCCCAAATCATTGAGACCATTTTGCAGAAGGGCACTGTGCTGATACAATTGGTCTGTCCCGTAGGAAAGAGAGCTTCACAGAACACGGTCTGCTATTCAGCTGAGCTCTTGTTAGAGGAAGCTCCCTCCAAACCTCCAACACTCCCATTAAAGAGTTTGACTGCACAGCCAGAGTATGATCAGAGAGGAAGAATGAAAGAGAAGAGGAACGGGGGGAAAGGAGGTTGGGAGATGAGAAAAAGTCAGTGGAAAGAGGTGAACAAAGAGAGAGGAGGAGGAGGAAAAGAGAACAAGGTCAAAAAGACAAAGAAGAGGTTTAAAAACAAAGAGAAAAAGACCTTTGGCCTAGTGGCACTGTAAGGAGACCCAGATGATGAATGGTGTAGAAGATTGCAGCTGACGGCCATCCATGAACATACTGTAGCTAAATCCTTGTTCTCTCAGCCTTCTGGCGCTTTCTCAACCCATCCTTCCTCCTCTTCTTTCCTTTTCCCCTCTCTGATCCACCTCTGCTATCTCCTCCTCGCCCTGTGTGTGGGAGTTTAATCTTGTGCATGGAGAAATAATGAAAGGGAAGGGGGAAGTAGAGAAAGATGAACTTTGGTGATCAGGAAAGACTTGGCTGATTAATTCCAAACAGAGAGACGTTGATGGAGATTGATACTGAGTTTAAAAGACAGATTTAGGCAGAATAAATGAGGGAAAGGATGGGGGAGACAGTGAATGGAGGAAGGTGAGAAATGGGAGTGGGAAGAAAATGGTTGTGGGGGAGAGAAATGTGCAGAAGAGACAGAATGAAAATAGAGAGTGAATTATGGGGAGATAATTAAACAAAAATGGAAAACAAGAGAGGGATACTTTTTGGCTTGGTCCATGCAGGATTAATCTGTGATGCTACGTCATACTTCTCCCTCGCGGCAGGCAAGTGCTCTGTTTAAAAAGCATATCCAATTCATAGTGAGTTTGTTAAGGAACTACACAATGATATGTTATTCTGAGAGGGCGGCACCAATCTCCCTACAGAGACAAAGGTGACCAGTAGATGAAGGTATGAATGTGTCCGTTGAAGCCTTTGTCTGAGATTTAGACGTTTTAATCTGACTTTTTTTTAAAAACCGTAGTCTTGTAAAAGCGATTTTTTTGTTTTGTTGTTATTTCTTTCCGTTAACTGTCAAGGGGGAAATAAGTATTTGTTGTAAGTTTTTGTGTTTCTCTTATTATCTTACGATACTGTTATGTTTGGCTGTGAATAAGAAAATATGAAGGACATTTATTTCTATATATTTAGTTGTTTTAGAAAGGGGCAGGTAATACAAGATTATTTTCTTCTCCCTGCTCCTTTTCGGTCGATGGTGTGTTTACAGAGACGTGTTTTGTAAACAATTGTTATACATTAAGTTGTGCATACCATGAACGGAACAAATACAAATGAAATGTTACCCTATACGTTTTTGCGGGCTAGATACATGATATCGCCCTTAAAGCTAAAGCTGGACATCACCAGCTCGACTGCAATCCTTATCGTTTGATGATCTACTTGGAAATAAAGAGACAGCATTGTTCTTGTTTTGAGGTCTGCAGCTATATTTTGAGTAACTTTCGTGGGGTTACAGGGATGTAATGTAATTGACTGAAACTGGATAGAGTCTGAATAAGATACTCCCCAGGTAGAAAGCCGGACCTGCTTACAATTTCAATTAAAGTACAGAGATAAACACGCTGGAAAAAAGACACCACCCTGTACACTTTGTAAATGCTTGGCCTTGCTATTTGTAAAGCCGGATGCACATGGCTTCAACATGTGGAATTGACAATTGAAGGGCTTGCAATCCCTGTTCACAGGAGTGATTTAGCGTAAACTGTTTTGGTTGGTGCGGAGTGTCAATTGAGCCAAGTTAATGTTTAGTTTTGGCGTAATGTAATGTCCTAGTATCTAACCTGGTGGTCATGTATTCAGTCAAGTGCTGTGACCCTCAACAGTGTGTGTGTGTGTGTGTGTGTGTGTGTGTTAGCTGTGTGTAATGATTAGCTGTGTGTGGGAAGTCATGTTTATTAATGCTGGAGCAAACCATTCACATTCTGACTGACACTCATTAACTCCATTTGGATTAATGAGTAACTGATTAACATGAACCATTCTGAACAAGAACCACCAGCGGCTCGCTAAGGAGGGGGTTGGTGGGCTGCGAGCGAAACCTAGAGCCATAATTGCTGTCTAATCTTTGATGGATGAATGAATGGATTCCCGTGCATACTGTTGAATGCTTCAGAATAACAAACAGTAGAAACACAGCCGGTGACAGTGAGCGCCTCGAGCCTCTGGGTGCACAACATGGGTTTATCTCTTCATCCTTTGTTAGCTAGTTTGTGATTTATTTTATTTTCATTGCTTTCATTTTTAGACTGTTACAAAAGTGCATTAAGTATATCGCACTCTGGTAGGGTTAATGAATAGCAACACATTGGATATATGGATCACTTTACAAAAGAATATCAAAAGATGCATGTGTGTGTTTTCTAAACAAATGAAAGGATTACTCTGTGGAAAATTGATTCTTAATCGGAACCATCCCACACTTCCATAGAGGTTTAACACTTTAATAATTTGGTAGTAAAAACTAATACACTTCTACTCGTGAAACATCAATTAAACCTCAGTTTGGCCTGAGTTGATGTCAAGCAAGAAAATAATCTTTTAACTTCTATTCATGCACAAAACTACCTGAGTATGTATTGGCAAGCTTCTTTATCCATTTATAATTCCAAATGTTGGATAAGTCGGAGGTTTAACATTCTGTGTGTGAGTATATTTTGATGTGTTACTCGGCGGTGAATGGCAATTCAAAATATGCATATTTCCAAGTCCTATAGAAATATTTTGAAATTGAAATAAATCCATATATAGTTATTTTGGAGTGCAATCAAAAGAGTGATGGTGCTGAAGTTTTGCAGCCCCACCCGCAAAACAAGGTTTTCCTTTTTGGTGCAAAGACCTTTGAAGTCTCTGGACTATCTTTCTGAGCTCTCTTCGGATGATGCAGTTTATAGGGACATTGAACTCCTGTAGTCATTCCTGCTGTTCCATATAAAGCCATTTATTAATATGTTAGCGATTTAATACACACTCTGCTGCTTTGTGATGAACCTAGTGCTCCTGTCACCACTGTGAGCTTCAAGGCCTGGAGCCAGTCATCAATCCAGACAGGAAGGCAGGGCTTCACTCTGGCAGGCACCCCCAGTCCCC